GAAGGAAGGAAGATTGGAGAACCATTGAAGGATCTGAAGTAGGAACGGTTATGTTAGATTTGTATTTTAGTGGATGGCTTTATGGGGGTAAGGTGGAGCCAAGAAATCCGATAGGAGGCCACTGAGCTGATTCTGGGGATGATGTCTTGACCAAGCCAGTCTAGGGCACTGGTGAGGAAACTAAAGAGGAAGAGAGTGATGTGGGAAATATTTAGGAGTTGAAAATGGTAGAACAGGGTAGTTAACTGGAGGCCTTGGATGAAAATAAGGAAAGAAGCAGAAGGCCCTTCAACTGGAGAGGTAGGGATGCCCCTTCCAAGAGCAGATTCGTGCAGAAATGATGGAAGTGGTGTGGGTCTCACTGAGCCTGGCCAGTGAGGCAGGAGGACACCGGTGATGTCTGCCATCCACCTGGCAGGACAGAGGGATGCTGTCCCCCAGAGGGTGTGTGTGGAGTGAAAAGAACAAACCAACATTAAATGTGAGCGTGAGGGATGCTTATGGCACCGCCATACCCTACCCTGTTGTCAGGTGTAGCAATTTGTGCATGTGCTGCTCCTGTCCTGTGAGATTGGAGGCCTCCTGAGGGCGGGAGAAACACAGGAGAGCTGGACCCTTGGGTAGGCCACTCCATCTCTCTGGGCCTCAGTTGCCTCGTCCCTCAAAGCGGGGAAATAACAGGGCCGTTGCGAAGACGGGGGCGGGGGCAGGTGTGAAATGCTCTGCAAAAGATTTTGCAAATACGAGGGCTGATATCCTGGCAGATCTAGTCACTGCTTCTTGAGAGACTGAATCAGGCTGTTGACCTCGCACGGGCCATCTCCTGGTTCTGCCCGCAAGGTCCTGCTGGGGCTTCGGTTTCCCCTCCAGCCACCTCTGCTCCCCAGGTTGGGAACCTGTGTTTTCTGGGTGCCTATCCTGCCACTTGCCAGGAGCCAAAACCCAGACCTTCTAGAATGCAGAGTGTGCTCCATGGGCCAGCCACACCAGCATCAGCTTAGGAACATGCTAGAAATTCTCAAGCCCCACCTCAGACCCACTGACTTAGAAACCTTGAAGGGGAGGCTCAATAATCTGTTTTCAACAAATCTTCCAGGGCATTCGTATGTTACCTAAATTCGAAAGCCGCTGCTCTTCGAACACCCAAATCCTGTTTTGGCTACAAGTGAACGTAGGAGGTACTTGAATCTAAACATAGTAAATGTTTCTTCTATGCCCTGCAGGCTTGAATATTTTTGACTCTGGTCGCCAGAATTCGATTATTGTTGGCCTAGGAGGGAGGAAGGGACAACAAGCCCGTGCCCCAGCGCTGTCCCGCTCCCAACCCCCCTCCCCTCCTCCCCCTCCCACACACACGTGTACACTCACCGCTAGTAAACAATAGGCTTCAGCCTAGTGACTGTCAATGAATTCCTAAGACCTGACAGGATGTGTTTTTCACTCTGGCTTCGTTCGCCCTGAGTGAGTGCTCCGGAGGACTGGGGCCCTGCGCTGCGGTCCACTTCTCATCTGGAAGCCAGCCAGACCGTTCGGCCCCACAGGTGTGGGCTTGGGATTCGGGGATAGGAGGTCTGGCAAGAGGAAGGTGAATGGAGACATGGTTTGACACACTGAGCTGAGTTTTGGGGTCACAGGCCTCAGCTGCCCCTTTCCCCTTCCTCTCACCATCAAAACGTAGAAGCAAAACCAAAACACACAAAGAGCAAAAAACAAGAAGATGCCCTTGGGCGCCATTGGTGGGAATGTAAAATGGTGCAGCCGCTGTGGAAAACAGAATGGCAGTTCCTCAAAAAATTAAAAATAGAACTACCATATGATCTAGTAATTCCACTTCTGGGTATCTACCCAAAAGAACTGAGAGCAGGGACGCAAATAGATAACTGAACATCCATGTTCGGAGCAGCCACAGCCAACAAGGAGGGCAGAAACAACTCAAGTTCACTGACAAATGAATGGAAAAGCCAAATATAGTAAATACCTACAACAGAATATTATTCAGCCTTAAAAAGGAAGGAAATTCTGCAAATGCCACAGTGGGTATGAATCGGGGACATTCGCTGAGTGAAATAAGCCAGTCACCAAAAGACAAACTCTGAACGATTTCCTTAGACGGGGGCCCTAGAATCATCACATTCACAGGAACAGAGAGCAGAACGGCGGGTGCCAGGGACTGGGGGCTAGAGGGGGGTGGGGAGTTAGCGTTTCGTGGGAACAGAGTTCCAGTTTGGGAAAATGAGAAAGTCCTGAAGACGGACAGTGGTGCTGCGTGCATGACAGTGTGAGTGATCACCTGTACACTTAAAAATGCTCCACGAGGTAAATGGTATAATATATATATATATATCCCCACCATCAAAAACACCAAGAAGCACTCCCCTCCACCACCATCACTGAGACTCTAGGCTTGTGTCCTGGAGAGGATGGAGAGCTGAGCCAGAGCGGGAGTCCTCGTCTTCTAGAGACTGAGGGGTTGGGAGTGAGTCTCGGGTGGGGGCAGGGAGGTGGGACATGCAGCGGGGAGACCCCCTCAGTCTGGCATCTGGCAACCTTGGTGTCCTCACCCATGAAATGAGGCGGCGGTCTTCACTTATTCCTTCCAGAAGTGTTCGTGAGTACATGTGAGATGCCAGGCTGTGTTCAAGGCGCCCCTGGCCTCTGGCCTCTTGGGATTCGCATTCCCGTGGAGGGGAGAGACCAGTAGCCGCAGACAAGCAAACCGGCAAGAGCGATCTTGCGTGCTGCTGGGGGCTCTGAGGAGGGGTCAAACAGCAGATGTGAGGGTGGTGGGGTGGGGGGGCTGCTTATGTGGGACAGTCAGCAGAGGTCTTGCATAAAGGGAGCCAGACCTGAGGTAGAGGTGGAGGTAGGGGGAAGGCAGGAGACAGCACCCCCGAGAGGCCATCGCTTATGCAGCCGAGGCCTGAGCCACGGACAGCAGGCCTTTGTTGCTAGTGCATGGCGTGTGGTGGTGGTGGGCGACGACGCTGAGCCTTGTAGGTCTTATGAGGAGTTTGGGTTTTACTGCAGGTGTGATAAGAAGCCATCTCAGTGGCTTTTAAGCAAGGAAGAAGAGGCCTGGTTGTTTTAGAAAAAGAGGGCTGTGGCTTCCATGTGGGTCATGTTCGGGGACATGGACGGGAGAGCTGCGGTGAGGGAGGGGTGGTGCTGGAGAGAGCCACAGCGAGCCCAGGCGAGGAGGGTAGCTTTGGTAAGACCCATCTCTTGCCCGTTTAGGAGAGACCTTTATGAAAGCTGCAGGGAACTTTCCCAGGGACAATGCCCATACTTACATGTTTATAAGATTGAGCAGGGGGTTGTAGGGGAATCCCTCGAGTTTTCCCTCCATGCACCCCAGGACTGGAACTGCTGGGCTGGGTGTCTCTGAGTCCCTTCCCAGCATGCTGCACCCCCTTCCAGGCTGAGCCCTGGCCCCAGGGGCCCCAGGGCCAGGCAGGGGCCACAACAGAGCTGCAGGGGGAAGGCGGTGGGCAGAGGGGCCGTGGTCAGCAGGTGGTGAGGTGGCCGCCCAGCAGACTCTGAGGGGTCTCCCTTCTGGGTCCTCGAGCTCAGCTTGACTGTGGTGGCGGGACAATGCAACGGGCAGAGTGGATCTCCTGATACTTCAAAACAGCTTCGTTCAAACCTCACTCACTCAGAATTTGCAATCATGTGGGCCGTACATGCTCAAGGCAGGGCTGAAATTGGTTCTTGGGTGGGGTGAAAAAAAACCCTGAGCTATTACAATGATTTGTCACCCTTCAAAGGGCCCCAGTACACAAACAGATGTGCAATATATTTGGGGTATTAAAATTTCATGGAAAGGGGGCAGTCGGGGGATAAAACTGTCTAATGAGGCTTTCTGGGAGGATGATTCTTAAACAAACAAAAAATTGAGAAGTCCTGATTTAGAGGCAGTGAGATTTTTCTGTGGAGCCAGAAGAGTTCGATCAACAGAGTAGCTTAGGCCTTTCATTTCGATATATTAATTTATAAAGTGGACTTACAACAGAAATCTTTGTTCTCTCTTGTTCAAATGTATCTGTACACATAGCAATAGCGTTTTCTTCATTAAATTCTCAACAATATGGGCTTTTCACCAATGTAAGACTTCCCATCTCTTACTCCGCCCCTTTGCCTCTGGCAAAACGATGCTGTGGATTTTGGCATCCATATCCATCATTTTACGTGGCCCTGATACTGACCTGAGGGCAGGTGTTTCTACAGCCGGGTTACAGAGGAGGACAAAGATGCTCAGAGAGGGGAAATCACTCTCTCAGCCTGTAAGCAGCTGACCCCGGCCTGGTGCTCGTTTCTGTTGCTTCCTTATGCTGTTCCCTGCGCTGTGTCCTCAATTCCACAGAGAGGAGGTGAGGTAGCACCTCCCCATGAGCACCCAGGAGTCCACACCATGCCCTGTGGGAAGTGTGGCCTTCCTTTCTTGCCAGAGCCCACTAGGATGTGGCAAGGTGGGGCCACTTCCGGGCTCTCTGGAGAGGCTCCCGGAAGAGGCTGTGACCTCAGTGCTGACTGACCTGGTGCCTTCCTGGGAGCAAGTAGAAAAATGTGAATGATGCCTAGTGCTGTCATGGTGGAGAGTGGCCGGAGCCCTCACTGTTGTGTGTGGGTTGGAATTGATCTTCACCTTGGGCGTCCCTTGGAGAGTGGGGCTCAGGGTGAATTTGTGCTCATAAGAGCTCCTCCCCTTGCTTGCTGCCCTGAGTGACCAGGAAAATGAATAAGGAACAGGAAGCCAGGGAAGGGGGGACAGGGAGGCATAAACCGCCATTTAGTGTCTTGGCATGTGACCAAGAGAGTCAACTAGATAGTCGAGTTGGGTTGAGGTTGGTCCATCTTCTCCATTAAGGAAGGCCCTTAGAACAGTACCTGACACACAGTAGGCGCTACATAAATGTCAGCAGCCGTTATCCGAAGCCTTTCCCACCTTTACCTTTCAGGGGTTTACCCACCACTGAGGAGGCCCAGCTTTCCGTACAGCTCGAGCCGTATCCGACTAGCAAGATGGCCGTGGAGAGACCTGCCCATTCCCTGCGCCCGTGAGGGGTGAGGTGCTCTGGGGCCCAGCGATGGGGAACGCTACCGCAGAAAACACCTCGCTGTGCAGCATTGACCACACCATCCACCAGACCCTGGCCCCGGTGGTCTACGTGGCGGTGCTGGTGGTGGGCTTCCCGGCCAACTGCCTGTCCCTCTACTTCGGCTACCTGCAGATCAAGGCCCGCAACGAGCTGGGCGTGTACCTGTGCAACCTGACGGTGGCCGACCTCTTCTACATCTGCTCGCTGCCCTTCTGGCTGCAGTACGTGCTACAGCACGACCACTGGTCGCACGGGGACCTGTCCTGCAAGGTGTGCGGTATCCTGCTGTACGAGAACATCTACATCAGCGTGGGCTTCCTCTGCTGCATCTCCATCGACCGCTACCTGGCCGTGGCCCACCCCTTCCGCTTCCACCAGTTCCGCACGCTCAAGGCGGCCGTGGCCGTCAGCGTGCTCATCTGGGTCAAGGAGCTGCTGACCAGCGTCTACTTTTTCCTGCACAAGGAGGTGGTGGAGGACGGGGACAGGCACCGCGTCTGCTTCGAGCACTACCCTCTGGAGCCGCGGCAGCGCGGCATCAACCACTACCGCTTCCTGGTGGGCTTCCTCTTCCCGCTCTGCCTGCTGCTGGCCTCCTACCGCGGCATCCTGCGGGCCGTGCGCCGGAGCCACGGCACCCAGAAGAGCCGCAAGGACCAGATCCAGCGGCTGGTGCTCAGCACCGTGGTCATCTTCCTGGCCTGCTTCCTGCCTTACCACGCACTGCTGCTCGTGCGCAGCCTCTGGGAGGCCAGCTGCCAGTTCGCCAGGGCCGTCTTCAACGCCTACCACTTCTCCCTGCTGCTCACCAGCTTCAACTGCGTGGCCGACCCCGTGCTCTACTGCTTTGTCAGCGAGTCCACGCACAGGGACCTGGGCCGCCTCCGAGGGGCCTGCCTGGCTTTCCTCGCCTGCGCTGGTGGTGGCCGCGGCCGGGAGGCCTACCCGCTGGGCGCCGCAGACGCCTCCGGGAAAAGCGACGAGCCCGAGCTGCTGACCAGGCTCCACTCAACCTTCCAGACCCCGAACTCACCCGGAGCCGGGGGGTCCCCTGCAGGCGGCTTGGCCTAGTTCGGGGGCGGTGAGTGTCTCACCATCGGCGGGGGCGCTGGTGAGGGCTGAGCTTGCTGGCTGCTGCTGGCCACTGCCCTTGGCCAAGGACAGGTGCCTCTTTCTGCTGGAATGAGAACCTCTTTGGCCCGGGGAGCCCGCTCCAGCTTGCTGAACCCGGTGGGGATGGGCCCCGGGAGTTGATGGGTGTCATCTGCTGCTGGTTGGGCTCCTGGGGAGGAGAAGAGGGCAAACTGTCATTTCCACGAGGTTCTTGAAGAGAAGCTGATGGGAGGGGATTGGTGCAGAGTGTGAGGGCATGGAGGATGGGACTGGGGCATGAGGGCAGGTTCCTGGGTGTACCTGTGAGAGGACCTTCCAGTGCCGTCGTCACAGATGACACCTGTCCTGAGGCCCCAGTGCTTCCTGGGGTCACGACATGTGAAGCTGTGTTGTCATCACTGACAATTGGCCTTACCCCTTTGCTGGAAGAGGACCGGATGGGAGGTTGGATGGGGAGAAGGGAGGTGGTGTTTGGGCACTGGAAGTGTGTGGTGGGGGACAGTGAGGGGAATGACAGCAGAGGAGAGACCCCAGCTCCAGGCTCATCTCACGTTCAGAGGGAGAGCTGAGTGGACTTCCCAAGCCCCAGGACTGATAGGAGACAAATCCCAGGGCTCCGCAGAGCTCCCTGGGGCCATGTCTGTGGTCCTTTCAAACAGCCGGTACTGAAAGCTCTGTGTCAGTACAGAGTTCCCAGCAAGCAGAGTCCTGCTCATTAGTTTTCTGTTTCCATCTGCCCAGAAGCACCGGACGCGGAAGCTAGGGATGTGTGTGTGTGTGTGTACGCACACACGCATGTGTTCATGGTTCAAATGCCAGTCTCCATGACAGCTGTGTGCCAAGACACTGAGGCTGGGGTTGTGTGACTGATGGTGGTGTTGCCTCCCCCTGCCCCCTAGTTCGCACTTTGTCCCCCTCCACACCCTGTGGAGTGTCCAGCAGTCTCATGATATCCTCTCGCTGTCCTCAGCTATAACAAAGTAAAACAGAGACACATTCTCTAGCATCTCTCAGCCCAAAGCCCTGCGGTTAAGCTCCATGATGGTTTAAATAGCCCCTGGGACAAGGAGAGGAGGGAGCCCCAGGCTTCTCCTGCCGCCCTTGTTCCCCAGCACGGCTCCTCTGCCAGGTGGCCCACCTCACTCCCTGGAAGGTGACAGCAGATTCCAGGGGCCGCGTGTAGCCCAAGGTACTGACTGCTCTCTCTCGTTCTATCCCTGAAGGCTCAGTACAGGTCTCATCTCTCCTACACCTTTGTGCCCAGCCATGTTGAGCCTCCACCCTGGTGCACATGCCAAGGACCAGAAGAACTTCTCGCTGCTCCAAGGATCTGGCCACTTTTGCACAAATGTTAGCCCTTCAGGTTTCCTGGCCGTGGGCTGGGGCCAGCTCTGACTTCCCTCAGAGTTCTGGGATTCAAGCTAAGCTCCCCACACTCAAGGGGCTGGGTGGACTGGGTGGTCAAGCCTAGAATGGGACCAGGGATGGGGAGATTCAAGCTGGCATCCACAGAACATTTCTGGAATCTGCTGAAAGGAAGGCCAAGGAGAATATCTCCAATCTCTCTTCCCCTTTCCTCCCATCCTTCTCTGAGAAGTCCATTTATCCTGATTCTCTTACCCTCCAATCAGGGCTACCCAGAGGCAGAGGCCCCATGCTGGAAGTGACATTGGCTTTGACTGGGTAGCCCTACTGTAGCTCCTTAGGGAGGGCCTCCCATAACCTGGGGAGCTTCTCTTCCCTTCCTGAAGGAAGAAGTGACCAGATATGAAGGTGGCAGAAGTGGCTGTCCTGCCAAGAAAAGTCTACCTAGTCTCACCCCAGAATCTTACTGGGGCAGTGGCACTGGTTGAGGCCTCCATGCCCCCTCATCCCAAATTTCCTCCTATTTTGACCTTAAACATGGGCATTCCCACTGGGATGGACTGGGGTGAGCTGAGGGTGGTTCCTTTTACTATCAAGAGTTGTATTTTTGTATTGTCCTCTCTTTTATGCCAAGTATGTGCGTGTTGGACTGTGCACTGGATTTATGTAGCAAACTTGAGTCTGCAAATAAAGCAAAGTAACCAGCCACAGCTGGAGTGTGCTGCAGTCCTTAGGTGAAGTTGGGTCTTCTCTCCCTCTTCTTGAGAGTCACAAAGTGTCTTCAACTCTTTAGCACATTGTTGCAAATCCACTCTGGGACTTAATTTGGCCCCCTCCCCTTTGAGGACAGAGTCCAACCCTGTGATTTGGAGACTTATCACTCTGTCCTTGGACACATGACCCCTTCTGCCCTCTAGGTGGCTTTTCCCCACAGCGAGGACAGGCTTGATCAGACAGACCACCCTCTTCATTAATGAAAGACAGCCAAAGTAGAAAGACCTGTTGAGTCATCTCCAGGGGGTGTCCTCACCACTTGAGCTTTGTTTGGGGAGGCTCACATTTGTTGACCAGCCCTTTTAGGTTTTAGCTTTTTCTCAACAGTGACAGGCTACATGTTTATTGCTCAAGATCAGCTGCATCATATTAAAACATAAATTTGGTTTTGGTTACTTAATCCTTTCCTGAGTCAGATTCCTGGAGTCCTGGAGGATTCTGCAAGAATTGATCCTTCTTCCAAACAGATTAAGTGAGGACATCATTGGGGATTAAGACTCGTTTCTCTCCTGAGAGAATGGATGGAGGAAAAGGCTCATCTGGTTTGGACAGAAGGTGACAGAGTGATTAGATTCCTTTCTCATTCACCAGTGTTGCTTAGCAAGATGAAGGCTCATCTTCCTGTTTATATACACTGGTCTGTGGGTTGGCCAGACAAGAGTGGGAGAAATTTTCAGCACGGAATACATCCCCATCTGCTGCTTTCCTCTGACGGGTATAACCAAGAGAGCCAGAAGGTGGTCTGCTTGGTTCAGTGCTTTTCTCAAAAACCTGCTTCTTGAAGCTGGTGATCCTATAGCCTCCATGCCTGGAACTCATCTAGCAAGACAATGGCCTTTGATGCCAATCACCCTCAGGTCACAATGGTACCCAATGATCAGGAGAAATGGTAGGATTTCAATTCCATCTGCTTTAATTCAACAACTATCGGGACACTGCTAGATTAGACATTAGATAGCAGTGCTGGAATATACCATAGAGGTCATGATATCCAATTTCTTCTCCATTGAATTATCCCAGACATATCCCTCCCCCCCCCAAATGATGGTCCAGTTTCTGAACAAATACCACTAATGACACCAATTTGCTACTAACCAAGATAAATCATTCCAAGGTTGGGGAGAAAATCTTAACTCCGAATGAGCCAAGGTAGATCACTTTCCCCACTGGCCTTAGAGCACATGAACTGTGCCTCTGGGGCACATGGTCCTTCAGGTACTAGCATCTAAAGACAGTTTTCTTACCCCACTTCTCAGTATTAAACTCTCTAAATTTGAATTAGACAAAGCTGCATTATACTATAGTAACAAATATAACCCCCAAATCACAGTGCCTTAAAACAAGAAAAGTTTGTCTCCTGTTCACGCCAAGTCCAATAAGAGGCTGCCAATTCTGGCAAGTCTTTATCCAAGTGATGGATGTGATTCAGGATCCTTTTGTCAAGAGGTTCCAACATCTTGGTGTCTTCTTCCATCCACACAGGGTAGGGAAGCAACAAGATCTCTCTGCGCATTTGTGGCCAAGTCTGGAAGTGGTTGATATATATTACTCACACTCCATTGGCCAGATTCCAGTCACATGGTCCAACCCAACTGCAAGGGAGGCTGGGAAAGGTAGTTTTCCTATGTATGCAGGAAGAGGAAGCAGAAGTGGTGAGCATCCAGCCCAGTCTCAGACAGCTCTTTAAGCCACCTCCCTCCACTCAACAGGTTTTAAGCTCTCACCTTCGTGTACCTCACCTGAACAAAACTCACACCTTCAAATGTGATGCTTGGATCTGAAGTGAAATTAAGCCTGTCTGATATGCACTGAGGAGAAAGGGACCATTTACCTCCCTGTGCTTCTGTTGACACATTAATTTTTCTGGCAAACAAATCATCATGACTGACATATGTTGAGTTTGTGGGAACTGCTGTTAAGCCACATCTTCTCCATCCTGCCTGGAACGGGGGTCTTCTGAGACTTAGACTTCATTGAGGGGCAGAGGAACCTACACGGAACAGGTAGGAAGTAGCACAATGTAGAAGGCTGGACTGAGGGGCTGCTGGCCATCAGCAGGGCCTGGGCAAAGAGGGGCAGGAAATGAATTCAGAGGAATGTCTTGCCCAGATGAGCAATGGGACAACATTGGACCAGAGGACAGCAGGGGGCTAAGGAACCCTGACCCCATTAGCGGGCTTGCTTGCCTTTGAGTCTCACCTCCTGCAGGGTCTACAGGGTATGTTCTCCATTATATGCCCAACGTCTCCAGCCTGCCCTTGAACACCCAAAGAGCACCCTAGACCCTGCTTGCCAGGAGACCCCTAAATTCCTGGAAATGACCAGAGATGTTCACCTGCTCCACAAATCCAATCTACTGGATGCCCTAACCCATCTCTTCTCCTGAGCTGCCCCACCATTCCCTGTGGGTCACTCTTGTCCTGCTGTAACTGGCTTCCCCAAGGTCAGAGCCATGCTCACCATGCTACCCCAGACGAAGACACAGGCTCTTGATCAAAACATGGCCAAGATGAGACATATTTGAGCAAAACTTTACTAAAGGCTTGACCAGGAATCTCTACTGTGGGAGAGGAACACATGAAAACCGAATCCTGGAGCTCAGAGCTCTAGTGGTCCCTGGGCTAGGCTCAGCTAAGGGGTATACTCCTGGCTCTCTCTTGCACCTGAGCCCCTTTCTCCCTGCAGGGGGGCCTCTGGGTGCCTCAATCCAGAGCGAGGACCCCCCACTCTCAGCCTTCTCTGGGCTCCACCTGGGTCTCAGCCTCTTTCCCAAACAAGTTCATCATCTCCCCATAAACTTCTGGCCACAGTGCAGATAATCTATTACATGGTCCTGCCTTAAACCACTGCACGTCAGAACAGAACTCTCTTATTACTATTGTAAAACCAAAGGCCCATTAGTGTCTTTCTCCAAAATATGAATCAGAAGAGTGATGGCAGCTTTACCGAAGTGGGGTTTTTCTCTCTCCTAGCCATCGAGACTTCAAAAATGCCAGGGGACGCTCTCAGGGGCTTGCCTGACATGGAGCTTTGCCATCGCAAATCAGGACCAAAACTGTCCCTGGAGGACCCCCAGCCCATGAAGCCTGGGGCTGGGAGGGACTCAGCGAGCTGTGAGAAACTGCAGGTGGAGGGAGCATGAGCTCATTAAATGAGCACATCAGCTCCGAGCTCACACCAGCAGAAGCACAGACCTGTAGGTGGGGACACTTGGCCAAAATGACAAGGGGAGGTCTGGACGGTCCCCACCCCAGCTGCTTCCGGCCAGGGGCTCTTGGCCATGCCCTGGTGTAGGGTGCACTGGAAGTGAATCCCAGATTGCTTACTGTAAACTCAGGCTTTAACTTCTACAGCTGGTAGACAATTTGGGGTAGCATGTGTTCCACGCTTTACAACCAAGGCCCCTTAAAGAACTGGAGTAGATGTGTTTAAGGAAATAAAATGAAGCAGCCGCAGTAAGCATTTGAGGCTATGGCCAGGAAGCCAGACTCCGCCATCTGGATGAGTCAGCCATCACTCAGCCGTGAGCCAGCACAAGGTACTGTCCCCGTTCAATACGGGACTGCAATGGGATGTGGTCAGTGACTCTACTTCTAATTTTCTTGGGAAATATGCAGTGCAAGATGGTGAAGGAGATGTGTGCCAGCTGACTACAGTTTTCCGGAAGGATCCCATGAGGCACCTGAGCCCAACACCATCCCGACCCAGCCCCCAGCTCAGGAGGGTGCCTGCCCTCCTCTGTGGGAAGGTCAAAGCCGATGGCTCCTGGCTGGGGCTGAGCATATGGGGAAGGAGTGGGAGAAGTGTCAGGCTCTGCGGGGAGGGTGGGTGGGGGCGGTGCCAGGACCTGTGGGGGTAAAGAGAGGCAGGAGGCATACAGGAGGTGATGGGGAGAAACGTCAGGTTTGAAGGACCACATAAACAAAACATTGTTTGAATAAGAAAGCTTTCAAAGGTATAAATATTTTGGTACTTGTGGTAAAGTCCCAGAACTTCGTAAATAGGCACTACATATTTGTACATTTTAGTATTTCTTAATTAGCCTGTGGGATTATTCACCGGTCATGCCTACTCTTGTGTCTGCCTGGCAAGGAATATTTTTGCTGGTGTCCCCATACGTGACTGATCAGAAGACTCTCAGAGCAGACCACGTGGGTGCCCAGGGGGAGGAGGGTTGAAATCAATGCCTCCACGTACTCGGGAAGAAAAGAAAAAAAACAGAAACCCCAAAGAACGGTTCTCCTTGGTTCTGTATCATCAGCACGACCCTGTCCCAGGCAGTGGTCATGTAGGACCCTGGGCAGGGCTCACCCAGAGCCAGGGTTCATGTGCAAGACTCTCGTGGAAAGAAGCTGGGACCCTTGGGTAACACTTTCTCATGTCCAGGCATGACCATCTGGTACGTGGGCCACAGGCACAGTCACATACACACTGTGGTGACATCCACCAGCTTCTGGATCATCTGGGCATGAGTGCCGTGGAAGGGCAGCCCGTCCACCTCCATGCCCACGACCCCCGACACTCCACTCCGGACCTTGTGCCGCACCAGGATGTCCAACATCTTCTCTTCCTGGAAAAAAATGAGGACAGAGACAGAAGTGGTGGAGGGAGGGGGAGGAAAAAGAAAGAGATGCATACATTTACAAGGGGAGGAAGAGCTTTTGACTTGGTGTGGTCTCTTTTTTAAAAATAAAATTTCACTTAACCATACGGATGCCACTGAGAGACTCATCATGAAGATTAGGTGTCCTACATCATGCCCCAACTGCCCCAAGCCCCTCCTCAGAAGCAGCCACTTCAAGGAATCTGGGGTGTTCTTCTGGGAGTTACAGTCATGTAACTAAATGTGGTTATTATGGAAAATTGCATTTAACGTTTGTCAAAAACACGGAAGATTCACTTCTGTGGGTACAGTGTGGGCTACTTTCTGCAAACCAGCCCCTGCTTGGCTCTGATCATCTGCTGGTGTGGGCCATGTCCCATCTCCCTTAGCATTCTCCAGTGCGGATGGGGGAGCAGCTAGAGGGAGCAGGGCCCTGCAGGAAATACAGCCTGATCCTGGGCCCGGCAGGCAGGGTTTGGGATCAGACAGGTCTGACTTGGGTCTTCCCTGGCTTCTCCGTGCCTCAGTGTCCTCATCTGTATAATGGGGATGTTAATGATAATAATAGTAGTAATGTCTCCTGAGTGGGTTGTTGTAAGGATTAAATGAGCTAATGCAAGTAAAGCACCTAGTGTGGTTCTTGGCACACAGTAGGTGCTCATGAAATCAAGTAAATTATTATTGGCATGGTTGGGTCCCCTGGCCTTTAACCCAGAGCTTTTTTCCTTTGCCGTACTTGCTGAAATTTTTTTTTTTTTTTAAGTGATTCGATTCTCCTCACTTCCTCCAAAAGTAAGGTCCCAAAGAACTACTTGCCTACTTGCCCTCCATGCGTCTCCCTCTGGTTAGAAGGTTCTGGTCACCCTGAGAAAGGTGGATCTTTAGTGAAGACACAAGGAGGATGGTACCCCAGGGGCGGAAGTCCAGCCCATCCTCTCCCTCCTCCTCCACCAACAGAGGAGGGGGATGGGTGGAGGAGACCAAGACTCTCCAGCAGAGAGTCTCTGAGAAGGGCTCTCACCTTCCTTCCCAGGCACTTGCTCAATGATCCCACCCCCGTCAAAGTCAAAGTTTTCTTGCCTGCTACCTGCCACGCCCTGAACCGGGGATACAGAGGTGAATGGGACATGGTCCCTGCTCTGGGGGGTTCACAGTCCAGATGACTGATCAGGCAGGAATGGTCCGTGGAGATCATGGCACAGGGCAGGGGCATCCAACCCCCATTATCAGAGTGGCTCAGGAAAGGCTTTCTGGAGGAGGGGCATCTAGGACCACAGGTGATAAAAGAGCAGGAATGAGCCAAGTCAGGGGTGCTTGAGGAGCACTCACTGCAAACTTGTCCAAACAATGGAGAATGAGCTGGCAAAGGTCACCTGGGAATGGCTCTCCTCTCAGCTGGCCTGAGAGCCTGCATTTCCATTCTGCCCTGGGAGGAACACCCAAGGGCATTTCCTGGCATCTCTTTGTCCTCCGGCCCCTTCCCAGAGGCTGCCTGGCCCAGAATGCCATTTCCTGCCCTTTGTTTGGGTTTTATTCTTCCATTTCTCTCCCCATTGTGTCATATCCTCTCTTTATGGGGGAGTGCTTCTAGGATCCGGGAGTAGGGGGGGTGCGTTTCCTCCCACACACTGCCTGCTGGCACCATTCCCATCCTTCTGGGCCCCAGGGAGGGTCCTTGGGGTGTCAGGGTGCATGTGAGCCATCAGCAGCTTAGGAACGGGCTGGAACTCAGCCTCTAGGAAGAGCCACAAGGAACAGCTGGGCCAGCAGGGACAGCCGGCAAATTTCCAGGAATCACTGAACCATCTCATCATCTTCCAAGAGACTCCACCAAGTGGAGGAGGTAGCAGAAGGAGAGGAGAACCAAGCTGGAGGCAGAGAGTACCTCCCGTGACATCCCAGGCCAGGCAGAGACAGCGTGGCATGTGGGGAGAGACAGTCTGAAGTGAGACCGGGAGGACAGGGCCTGGGGCGCAGGGCACTGTGAGCAGGGAAAGAGGCCCGGATGAGTTCTGGGCTTGGAGGCTGAGCATGGAGGTGGTCTCGGGGGTTCACACGGGGAGCCTGGCAGGCTATATGCACAGTGGGGGATGATGTCGCTCTTCAAAGTGGGGTGGGAGATAGGGGCCCTCGGGGAAGTTAGAACTGTTCTGTGCCATGACCTTGGCAATGGCTGCGTGGATGTGTACATACGGAAAAATCCACCTACTGTCCACTTATGGTTGAAGCGCTTCTCTATTCCATGTAACTCAGTGTTTCAAGCTAGCAAGAGAAATGGAGTGGGATGGGAGTGCTGGAAGAGAACAGGAGCCCAGGATGAAGCCACATTCCTGCCTTGTCCATTATCTGCGTTATCCATCCGTCCATCCGTCCATCCATCCGTAGTCCCTCCTGTAAGTTGTCATCAGTCAGCTTGTAGCTCCTGACAAGGTCTGAGACATGCATTCAGATAAACCTCCCGGGCACAGCGAAAGGCCAGAGCGGGCAGGGTGTGCCCTAGAGGGTGGCGGCTGCCTTCCCTGGGCTCCGCCGCATGGTGCCCACACCCGACACGGTCATGATCAGATCAGACCCCTGATACAGGAGGCCCCGCTGACAAGCAACTCACACTGCCGAGATGAAGGACACTCCTCATGCCCTAGCCAATCCAGCTGTACCACCCGCTCAGGCCACAGCTCTGCCCAGCAGTCCTTGATGACTCAGGGATGTGCAGGGAGCGACGTACAGAGCTCCGCTGTGATGATTCCAGTTCTTTCTCCTGTACGCAGCATTGCTTCATGCCCCTGCACCTTTGTTTTGTGGGACTTGCTGCCTGTAAGGCCCTTCCCACCCTCTCCTACCTGGTTACTTAGAGCCTACTCACTCTCCAAGACCCAGCTCAGTGCCACCTCCTCCAGGCAGCCTTTCTTGAGCTCTCTGAATGAGCTAAGGGCCTGTTCTCTGTCCCCATGCCCTGCACACTTCTATCCTTCTACCCTCCATCCACCTGCAGTAGATCCCGAGTTCCCTACCCAGGGGCTGGGTCTGACCCTCCATTTCCTCCCAGAGCAAAACTGCCTGGCCCAGAGGAGGGGCTCAACACACATGTGTTTGTTACTTTTGTTTTGAAAATGTTCCCTTTTATTTTCCTCCTAAGGGTGATACATTATTAATGTATTTATGAAGAATGGTGTGGAAACCCAAAGGGAGAATTTTCCATCCCTGGAGGGTAAGCGTTTGGGTTGTATGAATTTTCCTGGCTCTGTTCATTCTTTTGTGTCTGTGTGAATCAGGAATCATGCGTGAGGCAGGCCCCTGAGGCTTTTTTTCCAGTTCAGATCCGGGAAATGCAAAGAAAGTACCCAAGGCCCTCTGGGCACCACTGGGGCAGGCCATTTCCCTTGAAAATATCCTTCAGCAAATCTAGTCCCCCCACCCCACCCCATGTGGCACCCTGGCATTACCAGGAACCGGAAAACTTCTGAGCCCTGGAATGAGCCCAGAGAATGGAGTCAGAGAGACCCAGACTCAGGTCCCAGCTCCCCCTCTCAGCTGGGTGTGTGGGACAAGCCACCTCCCCTATGGGAATCCCAGCTCCCTCATCTGTAAAGTGGGCACAATGTCAATCCAGAGAGATGTTAGGGAGAAATGGGCTGGCAGGAGGCAGAAAGAGAGAAACAGAGGGAGACACCAGGCTCTGGAAACTCATGCTTCTCAGCAGTGAGGGGCTCTGGGCCTCAGCCACTGGCTGCCTGGGCACTCATCACAACTGCTCTTCCCACCTGAGCTGTTATGTCCAGGCTCCACGCTCAGGAACCTTCCTGCCCTTAGACTGCATTCCCGTCTTCCCAGACCAACCGTCGAATCCAGGGTCTCCGAGTGTGATCACCCAGAACGTGTCAGATAGGCTGCTTGTCTGGCCTACTTCAGGCCAAATGAGCCAGGAAGCCTAGGTTGGGCTTTGCACTCTGGGGTTTAAGATGACCCTGAGATCATTCAGATGCCTTTGAGGTTGGGGAACTGCTGTCCTAACAGGGCATTGCATCTGTCCGTCCGTCCATCCAACCAACCATCCATACGTTCATTTGTTCATTTATTCATTCATTCTCTAGAATTTACCAAGCACCCTGTTTCCCTCTGCTGGTTGCTGGGAAAGCAGACACAAGAAACTCAGTTCCTGGTCTTGCATTTAGCAGTCTAGACCTCTGGGGGACCAGACGGGGAAAGTGAGGCGGGAAGGTGCAGGAGACTGCTTTTGGACTGGTTAGGAGTGGCCGTGAGGTTAGTGGCCCAGCCTGACCTAGCACAGGAACCCTTCCCTCAACCCTGACTGGGCCCCTGTCAGGGCCTTCCTCCTCACAGGGCCGGGCAGCTCTGCAGAAGGCAAGCTCTTCCTTTCCGTGAACCATAGTCTGCTCTTGTGACCTCTGCCCCTTGGCCAGCTTTTGTCTCTCTCAAGTGGCCGAGGGCATGGTCTGTCTCCGCCCCCCGCCACCCAGGACACCATTCAGGTGTGAGGCCTCAGGCCCCCCAGTCTTGTCCCTTCCAGGCCACACACCCCAGCTCCCTCTACTGATTCAGGCTCTGTCAGCCTGCTGCCTGCTGTCAGGTGAAGGGGAAGCTCAGGCGGAAGTTACAGCTCTCAGGGGAAGTCACCTCAGGCCTGGAATTTCGACATAAAGTCAGGGCTTTGGTGCCAATTTCCCAAGATCCAAATTACTCTGGAAAATTCCCGCAGAAGGTGCTCCAGGCTCTGGGAGGAGCAGGGCATGAAGGGGTGGGTTTGAGCCTGGAATCAGAGTCAGCAGATGGGACCGCAGGAACTGAGGCCCAAGGAGGGAATGGCGGAGTCATTGAGTCCTTCTGTTTTTTAAAAATAATCAGCCTAAAATAATCCACATGTCAAAGAGCCACATTGTGTGGTGGCAAATTCTGCTTCCCTATAGAGGCAGGCTCTGCTTCTAGCTGTGGTGGTGCTGTGGTACTTCCAGCAGTGGTGCTGGCCATCAGTTTATAACCCAGAACCCTCGACTTATAACCTGGAACCCTCTGTTTATAGCCTGGAATCCTTGGTTTATAGCCTGGGACCCTCAGCTTATAGCTGGGAACAGGCCTGCTCGTCATGCCAGGATGTGGCCATCTGGTATGTTACCTTGGCAACAGATGGAAGGGCTTGAGTCCAATTCTGCTCCCCAGGTGATCTGGAGGGCCCAACTGCCTTCCTGAGGTAATGTCGGTGGACCTCACACGAGTTTAGGATGTACAGCGCACAGGCCAAGGCATAGCCTCCCCAGTTAGAAACACCTAGAACAAAAAACGATTCTATCATAGAAGTGGAAAGGTAATGGGGTCCGTCACCCTGCCACTCAGCAGCTAGAACTCAACTCAGAGAATGGCACCAAGGTCAGGGGCACGCATGGCACCAGAGAACTTGTAAGAAATGGATCCGTGGGTCCCAGTGCAGACCTACGTCAGAGGAACTCCGCAGGAAAGACAGGGAGCACTCGGAGTAGTAATCAGCTCTCCAGGGGATGCTGATTCAAGTTAAAGGTCGAGAGGCATTGCTCCAAACCACCTGGGTTACCTACGATTACCCACCGACCAGCCAAGAAGCTTCAGGCTCTCCCCCTAGGAAGCCGCTGCAGATCTTCTGACATTAAGAAACTCTCCTGCAGCACCTGGGTGGCTCAGTGGGTTAAGCCTCTGCCTTCGGCTCGGGTCATGATCCAGGGTCCTGGGATCGAGCCCCGAATTGGGCTCTCTGCTCAGCGGTGAGCCTGCTTCCTCCTCTCTCTCTGCCTGTCTCTCTGCCTACTTGTGATCTCTGTCTTTCAAATAAATAAATAAAATCTTTAAAAAAAAAAAAAAAAGGAAAAGAAAAGAAACTCTCCTGCATGGCGGACCTGTGTCCGTCATGCTGTGCAGAAGCCGGTCCTTGGAGGGGCTGGCTGACTGTACTCAAAGAGGGTTCCTAGGTTAGCTTCTACCTGCCTTCCTTTTCTGTGAGCCAGCCCCAAGGCGCCTATTCCCCAGCGCGGGGACAACCTCCCGGGCTCTTCTCTGACACCTAGCCGGAGTTCTCCCTTCAACTGAAGAAGGATTGATGAAGGACCTGCTAGACTCTGGGCGTCAGAGCTAAGAAAGAAAGAGGAGCTCCAGACCCGGGGAGAGAGGGCCTGTGCATGCAGCCGACGCACATCTAGGGAGGTGCTCACGGAGGGTGATGGGAGCACTCAGGAGGGACCACTTGTCCCGCCTGGTCTGGGAAAAGTTCACAGAAGAGGGGTCATTTCATACCGGAGCTTGTAGGCTGGGCAGGATTTATCAGAGGAAGGGTGGAGAGTAGGGGCCCTGGAGGTAGGGAAAAGTCCCAATATGCAGTGAGTACAAAGGCGTGTGGCACATAAATAGAAGACATACATCAGAACGAGGCAGGGGAGGGGCTGGTGGGGGGAGGGGCAGCAGGAGAGGGAAACAATCTCAAGCAGGCTTCGCGCTTAGTGTGGAGCCCGACATGGGGCTTGATCTCACGACCCTGAGATCATGACCTGAGCTGAAATCAAGAGTCAGATGTTTAACCCACTGAGCCACCCAGGCGGCCCTCAATTATTTCCAGCTAGTTAGATGGTGTTGTCGATTTCAACTATGCCCTTACTCATTTTCTGCCTGCTGGATCTGTCCCTTTCTGACAGAAGGCTAATAAAGTCTCTGTAGATTTTAGAGTAGAATCACCCATTTCTCTTCGTGTTTATATCAGCTTTTGCCTCACATATTTGACACTCTGTGTTAGGAGCATACGCATGAAGAATTTTATGTCTTGGGGTGCCTGGGTGGCTCAGCGGGTCGGGTGTCCAACTCTTGGTTTCCGCTCAGGTGGTGGTCTCGGGGTCATGGGATTGAACCCTGAGGAGTCTGCTTGGGATTCTCTCCTTCCCCTTCTGCCCCTCCCCTAGCTCACACTCACACACACACTCTCTCTAATAATAAATGAATAAATAAAAACTTTAAAAGAAATTGTTGTGTCTTTGGGGCACCTGGCTGGCTCCATCAGAAAAGCATGTGACTCGACCTTGGGGTTGTGGGTTCAAATCCCAACACTGGGTGTAAAGATTACTTAAATAAAACTTGAAAAAAAGAATTGTTATGTCTTCAAAACCAAAACAAACAAACAAACAAATTGTTATATCTTCTTGGACTATGACCCCTTTATATCATGGACTGCCTTACTGATAACTTTCCCTGCTCTGAAGTCTTCTCTGTCTGAGATTAATATAGGGACTAATGCTTTCTTTTGGTTATTGTTCGCCTGGTAGATTTTCCTCCCTCCATCCAGTTTTAATCTATGTGTGTTTTTATAGTTAAAGTGGGTTTCTTACAATTATAGTTGAGTCTTATTTTCTGATCTGCTCTGACAATCTCTGCCTTTTAATTGGGGTAGTTAGACCACTGACATGTAAGGTGTTCAGTGATACGGCTGGATTAATATCTTCCACATTGGTTACTATTTTCTGTTTGTTGTTCTAGCTCTTTTTTTTTTTACCCCTATTTTTGTCTTCCACCCATTTTCTGCCTGTTGTGGTTTTAAATGAACATGTTATAGGATTCTATTTTCTCTCCTTTCTTAGCATATCCATAATACCTCTTTTTTTAAAAAAATTATTTTTAGTGGTTGCCCTAGAGTTTGCAATATACCTTTACAACAAATCCAAGCTCACTTTCAAACAACCATTTCACAGTTAGGGCAAACACTCCTCATTCTTCCTTCCCATTGCTTGAATGATTGCTGTCAATCACTTCACTTACATACAGGAACGTAATTGAATGAGTCATTCCTATTATTATTTTGAATAAGGTGTTATCTGTTAGACCAATTTCAGAACAAGAAAAATTAAAATTATTTTGCCTTCACTTATGTATTCTCCAATGCTCTTCTTGGTGTAGATCTGAGTTTCTGACCTATGCAGTTTTCCTTCTCCCTGAAAATTTCTTTTTACGTTTCTTGCAAGGCAGATCTACTAGAAACAATGCCCTGTTTGAGAAATTCTTTCTTTCTCTTTCACTTTTGAAGGATAATTTCACAGGCACGGAATTCTAGGTTAGTGGGTTTTTTTCTGTCAACGCTTGAAATATGTCATGCTACTCTATGGCCTGTGTGGTTTCTGAGGAGAAGTTGGATATAATTCCTACCTGAGCTCCTCGTTTATCCTGCTGGTGATCTCTGAGCTTCCTGGATCTATGGTTTGGTGTCTGACATTAATCTGGGGGGGGGGGGAATCTCAGTCATTATTGTTTTATTTATTTATTTTTTTTTAAGATTTTATTTATTTACTTGACAGGGAGAGAAATCACAAGTAGACAGAGAGGCAGGCAGAGAGGAGGGGGAAGCAGGCTCCCTGCTGAGCAGAGAGCCTGATGGGGGGCTGGATCCCAGGACCCTGAGATGGTGACCTGAGCTGAAGGCAGAGGCTCAACCCACTGAGCCACCCAGGTACCCCTCATTATTGTTTTAAATATTGCTTCTCTTCCTTTCTGTCTTTCTTCTCTTTCTGATATTCCCATTACATGGATGTTTGTAATAGTTCCACAATGCTTGGATATTCTATTCTATTTCATCCAGTCTTTTTCTCTTCGCTTTCTAGTTTTAGAAGTTCCTCTTGTCGTATGTTCAAGGTCAGAGGTGATTTTTCTCAGCTGTGTCCAGCCTGCCAGTGGGCCCATCCAGAGCATTCATCATTTCTGTTGCAGTGTTTTTGATTTCTGGCTTTTTTTTTTTCATTTTTCTCAGAATTTCCATGTCTCTGCTTATATGACCATCTGTTGTTGCATGTTGACTACTTTTGGGTGTTTCCCTTCCCCCCAGGTAGGTTGGGATCTGATAAAACCCCAGCCGGCTAGGCTCAGGTAAAACGGTTTTTCCTGAGGGCAGGCCTTGTTAAGAATGGAGTGCTCTGGGGGCGCCTGGGTGGCTCAGTGGGTTGAACGTCTGCCTTTGGCTCAGGTCATGATCTCAGGGTCCTGCAATCAAGCCCTGCATGGGGCTCCCTGCTCAGTGGGGAGTCTGCTTCTCCCTCGTCCTTCTCCCCTGTTGTGCACACCTGCTCGCTCTCTCTCTCTCTCTCAAATAAATAAATAAAATCTTAAAAAAAAAAAAAAAGAATGGAGAGCTCTGATGTATTTCAAAACGGCTTCTTCCCTCTACCCCCAGAAGCACAAGGGGATTTTTCTCTGACATCCATGGTGTGGACCAGGTAGAACTAATGGGGCAAAAGTCACAAAAGTGTGGGGACTGCTTGTGACCAGGGCCCCGTGGAGTTTTGAACTCTTAGACCTGTCCACACTGAACCTCCAGCCATCCATCAGTTGCAGGTTTTCCTACCCTGGTACTAATTCCCTCAGAGATTTCTACTCCTCTCCAGGCTGTTTTGAGGATGAAATAGGAGAGCCTTTCTTGGGTATCTGTCAAAAGTCCTGACACTTGTGGTGCAGTCAAGGGAGGAGAGATGGGTTCCTTTCGGACCTGGACATGGGCAAGGTTGGTCCTGATGGGAAAGAGAGGGACAGGGCAGCCTAGGGCAGAGGTAAGTCTGAAGAGAGGTGGGAAGAATTTTGCCCCCTCCGAAGATTTACCAGATTGTTCACCTCCTTTCCACCATGCAGGAGGCACAGAGGAAAGCATGGATGACTCCTCTTCAGAGAGATCTTCCCTGACCACCGATCTAAAGTGGCCTGCTGGCCCTGTCTTTTATCTCCCTGTAGCTCCTCATACTGCTTAGCACGAGCTGGTGTATTTCTTTCTTAGGGCTCCTTGTCCATCTGCCCCCACTAGAGCAAGAGCCCTGTGGAGCCCGACACTTGCCACACTAACTCCAGGACCAATGTTTGTTGGATGACTGAATGAGAGGCCTAAGGCTGAGAACCAGGTCCCCATCTTGACCTGGCACCCTGGAGACTCCACTCACAGGGGAGGGAAGCTTCTGGCTGGACAGGCTCCAGGCCTCCAGGTCCCTCCTCCTGGGGAGCCGGGCCTGACTGGCCCACCATCTGAGCACTCACCAGTGATGATGGCAAAGTCAGCCTCCACGTCACAGGCGATCACATCCCCATTTCGTATGTGTCTCTTCACAGCCTCCTTGACTTTGCCCATCCCAAGCTCATTGCCCCCATCACCAACCCCTAAACGGAAGAAGAACCAAGTCAGTCCATGTACAGGATCCGACAGAACTGGGGCGGGGGGACGGTTTGGGGGCAGGGGAGCCCCTTCGCATGTGTTGTGTTGCCTCAGGAACGGGAAAAGAATGGGCTCGGGGTCTATTTTCAGACAACCGGAAGATGTACTTCTCCTTCAGGTCTTCTAGAGGCCTCTTTAGTTAAAAGTGAGTTGAAGTTTGGAACTCACCAGCGTGCAGCCATGTCCCCTACTGAGTCACGCTCTCTAGTCACAGATAGGGACCCCTATGCTGGTGCTACTAGGCCCATGGGAGAAGCAGGTGTGGCTTTCCTCAACTTTTGAGTGGCTCCTGCTCAGGGATGGGCTACAAGGTCGTGAGCCCCATCTGTGTGGCAGCGAACAGGTAGAGATGGTTAAGGTCAATTCTGCCATTTACTTTAAAGGTTTCTGGTGAAAGAGGATGAAATACAGGGTGTCAGTTCATCTTCGTCTACGTTAGAGGGGTGCCCGGTGCCCTGGGAAGTAGCTGAATCAGGACTATGTACCACAGGGGGAGTTGGTTGGCAGGTGAAAGAGACCCCATCTAAAGGCGGAAGAGGCATCCGAGGGTTTGTTAATTCGCACAATAAATGCTAGAACAAACATGCTAGAATAAATCAGTGTTCGAAATTATTTAACTCTTTGGGGAATGGTGTTGAAGATAGGGGCGTTGGCTAGAAATAAAAACCAGGGTTCCCACCTCACAGGCACACGGTGAAAATTATCTAACCAACCCCACAGCCTGCCGCCGTCTCGGGTGGTGCTAGAAGACCTCCATTGGTCCTGTGTCCTGCTGTTTCTGGAGGATTCCGTGGGTCAGAGGTCAGCAGGGAGACAGTTGTCGCTGCCTCAAGGTAACAGCTCCCCCAGGCGCTGGCCTGAGGCATGGTTGCATGGCAGTTTCTGTGTGGATTTCTATGGAGGCCTGAAACGCCTGCAAGAAATCCACCTGAGGCCACATTCATCGTGAGGTATGGACGGGGATGAGAGCTCCCCACCTCGAGCACCAGAGACCTGGACACAGCCGAAAGAATCAGACGGTCTCAATGGCCTGGTGCCTCAGGTCCACACCCTGAGGACTTCTCTTTTCATCAGACTAAGACAGACTGACACACATCCTTTTCTAGGCCCATGGCAGTGACAGAATGAAGGGAAACCATGACAAAGCTAGCACTGGTGTTTGTCTACGTCTGCCTCTGGTCTTTTCATACTTTATGAATTTTGTCTTGTTTGCTCCCCAGGTCAGTCCTGCCCGGGCCTTGTTTTCTTCACTTGAAAGCACTCCTGGGGTCTCTGAGAGGGGCAGGAGCTGGGTGCAAAGTGGCAGGTCAGTGTTATGTCCATGACAAGCCAGCGGCCTGTGGAAACTGAGGAATGGGTTGTCGATGGAACAGAGGAGAGAAAAGACAGGGATGGTCCTACAGGGCAGGGGACCGTGGGGACCACAGGAGAAGGCTGGGCTCCTGAGGATAAGAGAAGGCTCCAGAGGTCCACAGAGGGAGCAGTTTGAAGGCACAAACAGCTCTACTTGCTTCCTCTGCAGTCTTAGGGGCAGCCTTGGGAGGATCAGCAAAGATTGGGGGTCCATTTGGCAGGGGAAGAACAGCACCTTCGGATCCTAATCTCCCCTTTGACTGGGAAACCCCTTCCTTCTCCACTCTGGGCATTCCTTCCTCCAGCCCTCAAGTCCTTGGCCTGTCCAGCCCAGAGAGGCAGGAAGCTGAAGCCAAGTGTGCTGTGGGTACCACACCCAAGGCCTCTTCTGGGAAAGACCAGGCGCTTTGCAGAAATTTTCTACTCAACCAGGAAGACTTTCATTGTCTCATCAAAACCTCAAAAGCCAAAGGTGACTAATGAGTCCGGGAACCACTCTGCAGTGTCTGAACAAAGAGAACAATTAAACACAGAACGAGAAACTTGCCTTCATTACCCGAGGGTCTATACCCACCCCCAGGGGAGGAACGCTGTTCTGGGAGTTGTGTCAAGCCTTTCAGAAATTCATTAAGGCAACAGGATTCCATGAAAAACCTGTCGGAAGGGATTCTGGGAGTCTGGACTCCTAAATTCTACCCGCATCACTAATGGGCTAGGTGACCTCGAGGAACCTCCCTGGGCCTCATTTTTGAACACTCTGCCTGCCTTATCTACCTTCCAGGGTTTTAAAGAAGCTTCGATGACATATGGATGTGAAACCTCTTTGAAGACCATGCAGTTCTGTACAAACACAAATGGTCACGTTACTATATCATTAGCAGTCAAAATATTGCACTAATCACCTATTTAAGTCATATTAAAAATGAGTGCACTCAGAAGATGAAACAGTATACGTGGTACCTGTGTCCTGTATGACTGACAGTATACACCCTGTGTCGATTTTATTATTGTTATTATTTGATTATTAGTTTTAATATTTTAGAGCTGGGCCAGTAGACACGCTCGATTAAGTGTCATCTCCCTTTCTTGCTTGTGGGAATGTTGGATTTCTAAGTGATGGTGTCTTTATCATCTAGACTGGCCATAATAAACAATGCTGGGGCAGAAAGCTGTGGTCCCCATAGAACTCCTCCCTGTCATTCTGTAGTGCTCTATAGTCAGTGAAAAGGCAGTTAGCGCTGACACATTCTTGCTGAATTCTCAGTGCTCCCCACTTACCGGTGGATGAGATTCCAGGAATCTTCCGTGTTGCCAGGAAAAGGTCATCAATGGGGTCAACCAAGTGCTTGATGTTCATCTTCCTGGCGTTGTAGTAATTGCCATCGGCAGCCCTTCCTGCACGCTCTATTGCCACCAGATGGTCAAACCTGCCAGGAAGCAAGGACATGGGGGCCTTATGGGGAGAGTGGCTGCCTGGCTGGGTCCTGTGTTTGTGTGAAGGACCCTTGCATTTTTTCTCCGATTCCTTCACTCCTACAGAATTTGGCTGAGCCTTTAGGTCTAACTGCCAGGGCTTGTACTGGGGGCTTCTCTATCAGATTATTTAGAAAAATATCATCAGAATCTTGGGGCACCCGGGTGACTCAGTTTGTTGAGCATCCGGCTCTTGATTTTGACTGAGGTCTGATCTCAGGGTTGTGAGATCGAGCCCCGCGTTGGGCTCCACGCTCTGCTCAGTCTGTTTGAGATTCTCTCTCTACCTCCGCCCCTCCCCACCGCACATGTGCATGCGTGCACACGTGCTCTCTCTCAAATACACAAATAAAATCTTTAAAAAAATGAAAATATCATCAGAATCTTTAACAGTTCATTAGAGTCAGAGGCTGTGAAACTAGGAAGGCTGACAGTCAGGGTCACATGCTGGATGCTGCCAGTGTCCTGGCCCGATCTCCACCAGCCGGTGGGCGCCAGCACCCAGAGGTCTGAGCGTTGCCTGCTCTTGGCGCACCACTGCCTTCTCCCAGGATCTTGTTCCGTTTATGTACACAGACAGACTTAAAGAGTTGAAATGGAAGACAAATGAATCTAATGCAAGACCGAGATTAGATAGGCGGCATAGACAGTGACAGTAGGCTTGTGGGGTGCGGAATCAGATGGTGTAGGCTCCTGTCCAGACTCTCACACTCCTGGCCTTGGCCAAGTGCTTAGCCTCTCTGACCCACATTCGCTACATCCAATGACCTGACCGTAGGGGCAGTCTCATACAGTGGTGAAAGGAACCTCCCTGGGCCTCACTGTAGGACACTGCATCATCGACTTCACGGGGTTTCAAAGAGGCTTCAACAATATAATGGAGAAAACGCACGCGAGGTACTTTGTGGACAGGCCCGTACCTACTCAGTGTGTGGTAAATGGTGGTCTTTGTGGCTGTTATCATTATCAGGAGGAATCTTGTCTTGATAAACCAACTTGTGAAAATTGCACCTTTATGGCTCTCTAAATCCCCCACGATGGAGTTCTTTATTTTTTGTAAGGTTGATTAACTTATTTTAGAGAGAGAGAGCGAGCAGGGGTGAGGGAGGGTCAGAGGGTGAGGGAGAGAGAGACAGTTTCAAGCAGGCATCCCGCTGGGCATGGAGTCCGAAGCTGAGCTCGATCTCACGAACCTGAGATTGTGACCTGAGCTGAAATGAAGAGTCAGGTGCTTGACTGATTGAGCCACCCAGGCGCCCCATGATGGAATTCTTTAAAATCTTTGCTGTGGAAAACCGTGTGGCTGTTCCTCAAAAAAATGTGAAATAGAATCACCACAGGGTCCAGGGATTGCACGTCTGGGTGCTCACCCCAAAGTACTGAAAGCAGGGTCTCAAAGAGATGCTGGGACCCCCTTGTTCACAGCAGCATTATTCACACTAGGTGACAGGGACAAACAGGGGGACAGAGAGGCAGACTGCGGCATGCACATACAAGGGAGTATTATCCAGCCTTACAAAGGAAGGAAAATCCAGCTGCAACGTGGAAGAATCTTGAGGATAATTCGCAAACTGAAATAAGCCCATCACCAAAGGACAAATACCGGATGGTCTCACTCTTATGAAGGACGACAGCAGTCGATTCATAGAGACAGAAGGTAGGGGCTGGGGTCCTGGGGGAATGGACAGTCGCTGTTTAACGGGTACAGCATTCCCATTTGGGAAGATGAAAACGTTCTGGAGATGGACGGGGGGAATGTCTGCACACAGGTGCAAGTCAACCTTGATGTCACTGAACTGCGCGCTTAAAATGGTTAACATTAATGTTATGTATATTTTACCTTAATAAAAAAAAAAAATCTAAACTCTATGCCCCTGGTTGTGTAGAATGTGGTGACATCATAGATGCCTGGGATCAGGCCACTGAGAAGGTTTTAGAATGTAATCCTGAGACGACATGCCCGGGGCTGAAAAAAAGCAACCACCGAGAAGCAGAGTCAACAGGAGGAAGGAGCCGTGACCTTGAATTTCCCCTACACCTATATCCACGGTGATGAAAAGGCTGTTTGGAACAGGACCTCCGACTAAGATCAGTATGTTCTCTGTCCATCAGGGAGAATACCACTTCTGGACCTCCCCCCCACCCCAGGAGAATGTCAGTTATATACCTTATGGGCAAATTGATTTTTTTTTTTTTTCAGGCCAGCAGGAACCATTTAGCTACAGTAGGAAGTAATGCACTCCTGAGAAGCTGGCTGCCTGAGAAGAGTTAACACATATTCTCCAAAGACAGCACATGCCTCTCTCGCCACAATAATCTGATCTGTCTGGCCCCCCTCCGCTCAGCGAACAGAGCAGCACCTGCGTTAACAGGCATTGGGGATCCCACCCAAGAGAATTTTCTAGCTTCTCCCTGAAGATCCGGAGCTCTGTTTACATGTCAACCATCTGGAGAATAGAAACATCTCTAATAGGAACCACACATGTTTTTGCAGTTTTAAATAGCATATGGGAGCCACAATTGAATTTTGTCTTGGGTGACTCGTGGTCCTTGTTATGATCATCAATTCTGCTGTGAGCTGCAGAACAGCATGCCCGCCAGGCCTATGGAAGCAGTGTTTTTAAGCTCTAACAGGACACTTATTAGTGGGTTGTGAAATAAATTTATCAGGCTGTGTTGACCTTTCCAGAAAAGTAAAACAGAACACTGTAGAATAGACTAGAACAGACTGGGGTAGAAAACGTCAGAATATATTGCACATAGCAAGGGTAAATACTGTTTTCTGAATCTTTGTTTTAGTTGTGCATATGTGTGTGCATGTGTGTGTACACGCGTGTGCATACCAGTTTACAGTGCAAAAGGTATCACCGTTGTGAAAAAAGTTTAAAAAACACTATTAAAAAGATAAGATCTGAAATACACCCTACATACAATAAAGATGTATTTTTCAAAATATCTGATCACAACACACAGTAAAAAACACACCCACTTGCACAAAATGTCACGACAGCGTACTTACGCTTACCACACAGGACGGACGATGGTATGTCTGCTTCTCATTCTCCTTGCAAACGTGCCGGTGACCCCACCAAAATGACTCCCTGTTCTCTAAGGGGTCATGACCCTGTTTGACCCATGCTAGGTTTTGGTTCTTGTAATTTTCCTCTCTTCTCCATCTATGGACGTGCCATCTCTCAGGGAGCTGCTATGCCCAGAGATGCCGTGAGAAGCCCCCAGGACACCCTGAAACTCAGAAGCCTGCCCCATTAGACCCCCCAGGCTCATGGCTCTGTTCTTCCTGGAGTCATGAAAGTGACAACCATCGCCGGTTTACACTGGGATGGGACACACGTACCTCGGTGACTTGGGGTCCCCATCTTTGCAGAGAAATGTTTGAGCAGCTCCCACTGATTCACCTTGGAAAGTTAGCAAGGGGACTGCTGTCTTCAGAACACCTTGAAAATAAAGGCGAAGGACGGACACGTCAGCCCTGGTGCTGCATTTTGGGAATTCATGGTGGCTTTTCAAAAGCTTCTTTGGAAAATATCACTATCCTTACGGAGCTGCACCTACCTGTCAAATACTTTGTTAGGAAACCCGAGACCTCAGCACAAGAATATTTGCTTACTTTTAGTCCTGAGTAAACCCTAGTGTTGGCGGATTGTGTGACCCTGAGTGGCGTGGAATTGGGCTATTTCACCACTCTTGGGGGCAAGCAAATATGCTGCCTGTTCACGGGGTCACGAGACCCCCGTGAATGGAGGCCTATTCTGGCTCACTGCCGTCGTGAGTGCCAGGGAACATGGTGCCCATGGTGGCGGGGAGCTGGCCCTCCGCTAAGCACGGGGCATGCATGCTCTCACTTAATCGTCACAACAATTCTCTGTGATAAGAACCATTAGTAAGCCCATTTTACAGAAGAGGAAAACAGAGGCTCAGAGGTACTGCATAAGTTGGGTGAAGCCAAGAACAGAGGTCAGTGTCCCAACCCCAGAACACTCCAAGTTCTCACCTGCTCCCCCCCCTGCTCACCTTCAGAGAAGTTCCCAAACAACAGTGGAGAGTCCCAGAGGCTGGTGTGGGATTGGCTACTGGTATCGGAGTGATTGCCACAGTGAATTTGACTCTCAGAAACAGCACCTCCCCTAATTACACTAACAATACATATTAACATAGAATACGCAGGAAGCACACACAGACCCCAGATTAAAATAAGAGTGACTTGGTTCTTATGAAGGAATCCACTTCCTAGCAGTTGGGGGTAGAAGGCTTGTGCATTCCCAAGCCCAGGATGAGGTCTCCACGCAGATGGTTAACAGTGGGCCTGTGACAGGGACGGACCCAGCCCTTACGGTTCCCCTGGTTCTACAGGACCCTCCCACCCCCCACCCGCCCCCCGTCGCCCCGCTCTGTAGCCCACAGCCCAACAAGCACCCCGTCTAAGTTAAAACCATGGGCTCATGTTATAAATGCTGCTTCCCACCCCGGCTTCACAATAGGGCTGCCCCTAGCCCTTTGGGAGCTGCCACTGCCTCCCCAGTGGGTGGAGGAGACAGAATCATTATCAGAGACCCTAAGGGGCCCCCCGTGTGACTCCCTCCATCCTCCCTCCCCAGACCCACCCGCTATTGAAGGGGGAAAGTCAACGAGAGAACAGTCAGTCCATCGGGGATACTCACCGAGCACATTCTACAAGGGACAAGGGACTGGGGCTGGGCTGGGGGCGTGGTCACAATATGAAAGACCCCGCCCCTTTCTGTGCTGGAGGAGCAGCCTGGTGACCTGGCAAGGGGACTGACCACCGCCAAATAAAATTCCCAGCTGTGTGACCTTGGACAAGCCACAGAGACTCCCTTAGCTGGGGTTTCCTCCTCTGCAAAATGGGGTTAGTCATGTGTCCCCTGAGCCAGGATTGCTGTGGATGCGATGGTGTGAGCTGGGGGTCTGGCATGTAGTAGGTGCTAGGTTAAGGCTGGTGTGTTCTTCCTTCCTGACATCGGATCATGGATACAGGATACTGGTCAGAAGGGGCACCGGGGAGCCAAACAGGGCAGGGAACATAACATACCCCTCAGGGGGCACACACAGAAAGAGCCTCTGCAAAGGAACATCGGCAAGATGGAAACCCGCACCTGAGCTGCAAAGAATCCATTTATCCATTTAGTCCATTGAGGCCCAAGGTAGGGAAGAAATGACTAAGCTTTTTGTTCTTTAAACATGTGCAGCCTCTGGTTATAAGGGGAACTGAACTAATTTTCGTTAAAAGGCCAAATCTCTTTCCCTTTCTTCGTCCACATGTCACAAAGGTTCTGCAAAACCTAATAGAGCAGATGCCGCCTTCGAAACCACCCCATGGGTGAGCCCCAGTTCTGAGCTCCCGGGCAGCAGGAGCCTCTGAGCCGGGCCAGCCGTGAGCTGCGAGGGCAGACTTGCTTCTGGGAAAGTGGACAGCTAAAAATATCCAAGCCACTTGTCAGATGGGGGAGGCTGCTGAGCCTGCTGGCAGTGGCTGGCAGCAGCGCTATGGCCCGTGCTTCCTCCTTGTTCACCATACCGTCCTTCAGTTTCCCTTGGTCCTCCGTGCAGTTCCTTCCCAACCTCCCTGGCTGGCTCCCTCTCTCCTCCTTGACCTTTCAATGTGGAGCGTCCCAGGGTATAATCCTGGGACCTTCTCTCTGTCTCTTTTTCTCTGGGTGATCTCACTCCGTGTCTGGACTTAAAAGGCCATCAATATGCCATCAACATGCCAACTGGTCTCCAATTTATCTTTCCAGCCCAGACGGCTCTCCTGAACTTGACTTGTAGATCTGTCTACTTGATGTCTCCACTGATGTGGGTCCCCTGCCGCTGCACCCTCTCCATCACCCTCCCTGAACTGTGGAGGCCTCCTCTTCTCCCATCTCACCCCTGCATCCAATCCACCCAGAATCATGACCCTACGTTCAAAATAGAGACAGAGCTGTCTACTTCTCGAGACCTCCACCCACACCATTCGTCTGTTTGGGGTTCTCTGAAACCAGAGTCTGACCCAAAGTCTTGGGTGCAGGCGGTTTATTTGGAAGATGATCCCAGGAGGCAGGTGATGGGCAGAAAGTGAGGGTGGGAAGGAGGAAAACCCGACAGGAGGGAATGGGCACATTCGAGGTCACTGCTCTAGGCAATGGGGTCCCAGTTCTACGGGGACCTGCCTGTCTCTGAGAGACAAGAGGCAGGGATCCCTCCCGGTTGAGGGGTTCCCAGAAGCATCAGTCCCCTTACTAGTGGACGAAGTGGGTTTGCACAGCTTTGAAGAAAACCTGAAAACACCAGCTTGCCATGGGGTCTGGTCAGGTCCGTGTGGTGCCCCATGTGGTCATTCCAGCGGTGGCTGAAGTTACTGGCGACCAAAGAGACGGGCACCCCAAGCCACCCCATCTCCCCCTTGCAGGGACCTCTGCAGTTTCTACCCTTGTCCCTACAACGACCTGGGCGATTCTTTAAAGCTGAAGCCAGAATGTGGCCCTCCTCTGCTCGGTGCCCTTCTAGGGCTCCCCTCCCACCTGGAATAAAAGCCCAGTTGCTCCCATGTCCCTTGAGGCCCTTCCAGGCTGCCCCCATGACCCTTCTGTCCTCCCTTCTGGCTTCTCTTGTCCTCATGTGTACCAGGCCACTCAGCTGGCCGGTAGCTCTTTCTTAAACCTACCAGGACTCCCAGACTACCTGGCTTCTGCTTTGGCCATGGTCACAGCCCAGGGCCTCTTCCTTCAGCAACTTCATCAGTCTTGGCTCTGCTATCACCCTTCCCACGAGGCCTTCCCTGACCATCCTGTTTAGAACAGCAGCCTACCACCTGGGCTGTCAGTCCGCTTGCCCTTATCCTGGTCTGCTCCCCCACCCCCAGCATTACACCTGCTTACAGACCACACACTTCCCTTTATCCCCATGTGGTTTGCCGCCCGCCACACTCCCCTGGGATGCGCTTGCCCATGAGGGCAGGACGGTGTCAGTCTTAGCCATCGATGGCTCTCAACATTCCATGACAGTGCCTGGCACAGAGTAGGTGTTCTGTACACATTTGTTGTGTGACATGGCTTCTGTGTGCTCAAATACAGCCTTTGGGAAGCTTCCAATGTCATGGTGCTATAGGGCATGCCTTACTGGGGTTGAAAGCCCATTGAGAGGCTAAGATGGAAAAATGTGTTTCTAAAGAACGCATTTTCTGGACACTGAACAGTGGGAAGTAGGTTAGTACCAGGCTCTCCACTGATGCCCCAACAACCCTGGTAGAAAGAGGAGAGCTGAAGAGCGTCCTCTCACAGTGCACCCCAGACCGATCCTCACCCGGGACCAGAGCATCACGGCCTCACGCCAGCATCCTCTGTAGTCATGCACCTGTGTGCTCCAGAAACCTGGGCAGCTGCCCACCTGGCCCAGCGGGGGCGCGGAGGGGGGCACTACCATCTCTGTTCTTGACTCCTCCTACCTGGGGGGGGCTGGGCTGGCCTGGGTTGCTGAGTTCCCTGCAGGTCACACAGGGAAGGGAGCAGGTGCACAGTGGGACCCGGGGCTCCAAAGCCTGGAGGACCCAGGTTCAAACTCGAGCTCACCATTCCCACCCGAGGAACTCGCCTGCCTCTCTCAGAGACTCAGAGTCTTCATCTGTAAAATGGGGCTAATGCTGCTGATACCAGAGAGGTTTCAAAAAGGAAGGAAAACGCCCCCTGTCCGGTGCATGGCCCTGAGCTGGGTGCCTGGCAGGAATTGCACACACAGTGGTCCCCCCTACCTCCCACATCCTCTGCCCCCAAAGGCCCATTTGGGGGAAACGGACTGTCCTCCTCTCACTCTTTACCTTGCTCGACAGCCTCTTCCATAAGCTTCTCGAACAAACTCAAGGCTCTCAGGTCAACGATCATGGAGACCCCCTTCCCCAAGGCCTGAAGGAAGGCGGCGAGGGCCACGGCTCCTGGTGGCCCGTCCGTCTCTTCTGGGGGCTGGTGGTTGAAGTGTGTGGGGAAGCCAGTGGTGACGAGTACGGAGCGGGCATGGGACAGAGACAGGGAGGCTCGAAGCAGCTCATCTCTCCCAAGCAGGTGTCTGATCCCCCGCTGGCCTAAAATTTGTTAAAGATTCATTTATTCACTTTAGAGAAAGGGGAAGGGCAGAGGGAGAGAGAGAGAAGCAGACTCCACACTAAGTGGGGAGCCCAGCGCGGGGCTTGATCTCATGACCCTGAGATCACGACCTGAGCTGAAACCAAGAGTCGGTGACCCAGCTGACTGAGCCACCCAGATGCTCGTTATTTTCATTTTAAAAGTCATACAATAACGTCGTGTGTTTTAAGTGGAAACTTACACGTAAGGAGCAGTTTGGTTTTTAATTTACTCTTGTTTCTGGAGAGGATTTGAGGGGATGCTCTAACGTACTCCAATGGCTGCTAACCTGGTCCCAGCTGGGCAGCACAGCCCCCCAGGGCCCATTACGTATCATTGTGGCCCTGTCCATACACAGGTCACCTCAGAGCATATCTGTGCCCGGTGACGGCAGGATGTGACTCAGAATTTCCCCCTGGCTGTGGCTGAGTTGACAGGTAGACCGAAGGATGTGGCTAGAGGGTGTCAGCTTCCCCTTGAGGTGTCAGGAGAACACGAAAGGACACAGAGTTGGGGTTCCTGTTGTAAAGAGACAGTTCCAGACTTGGAATCTAGAAACTTAACATTCAAGCCCAAAGTAGCTGTGTGACCTTGACCTCGTCCCTGGATTGCTCTGGGTCTCCATTTTCCTACATGGAGCACGGGTGGGGTGGGGGTGGGGGTTCCAGGTGGAGGGAGGCTGCAGGAAAGGGCTCTCTGCATGCCTGCTGTGGGAGTGGAGACAGGAGCCCCTGTCTGGAGGGTCATTAGTACTCAGATTTGTATGTTCCACTCAGATTCGTACTTTCCAGCCATTCACATCCAGGAATTTATCCTGATAAATTGATCACAGGGAGGTCCACACACGTGGTCATTGCAGCCTTGACTATGGTGTCAAATGATGGATGTTAATAAAAATGGTGGGATGCTTGCAAAATGGAATTCTATGCAAACATTAAAAAGGATGTTGTAGAAGATTAATGACATGGGAGGATGTTCACAATATATTAAAAAAGGAAATATATATTCTTTTTTCAGCCTTACAGACTTAGGACTGAAGAAAAAGACTTTAGGGGCAAATATGGAACTGTGAGTGAATTGTGAGGGGATTCTGCTTATTTTCACAGCCTCTTTACGTTCATATATTTTCTGATATTTCTACAACCAACGTGAATGGCTGTCAGTGGAAGGGGAGAAGTATAACACCGTACAAGAAAAAAATCAGAATGTAACCTATTTCATAGGATGGGATAAGCCTCAAAAGAGAGAGGAGGAGGAGAGAGAGAACTTTGTCAAATTTAGGACAATGATTTTATCACTTGTGATGGTTTTAGCATGAGGGCCGACATCATCACTATGAACTCTGCGTTCCTTCTTGTTCTCAGGCACCTCAAATGCAAGCCAACATCCTCTCAAAAATGACTGAAGCAGCTCTGTTATTAAGCCCAGTGAGCAATGCTCAGTATAAAGCTATTAATCTTATTTTGTGCTTATTAACTACAGCAGGACCCAAAGCATCTCTTGTTCTTGAGGCTGGACGATGCTCTGTAATCTACGGTATTGGCATTTCTGAGCCGTCGTAAATCTGCCCTTTCCTCCCTCATGCTGCAAACCTAGACCCCGTCTGCATAAGCCCCCAAGGGGGCGTTTTGTGGATGACCTCCTGGGTCATTTTAATTCAGCTGGGATGCCCCAGGTCTGCTGTAAATTTACTTCCCACTTACTTTTTCATCTGAGCTAATGGCAGAGTTAATAATTCTTCTTCCCCCACAACCCTTGTGCTGGATGGAAGGGCTGTTAGCCTGGGTAAGAATGTTCATGAGGGAGAAAGGATTGCAAAAATTTAGAAAAATATATCCACCCAGGAGCTCAGCTATGTAAGAGGCTCTGTACACCCAGCCATGAGCTTCCATCCCTATGGGTGCGTGTGTCCCAAAAGAGGAATCGGGACGGGGGGAGTAAGCATAGATCCCGAATTTACTGGGGGTTTATATTCAAAAGAAACCAGACTCTCTGCCAAATGAATGAATGAATGAACAACCTAACAGACAAATAAAACATCCAAAAGCTAGACTTTGTAGTTCTGAAGGAAGTTTTGCTACTGCAGACCTTTGGGTGTGCAGGGAAGGGAGAGAGCAGACATTTTTAAGGCCGTTCAGAATTGTTCAGTTCTGGCCATGATCTTTGTTCACACAAAAATACACCCAGCTTGGTGGCACTGTGGCTCCGCCCAGGTGCTGTTCTCTGTCCCACTGTCACTGTCATCAGCTCTGTCTGGGTGCTGGGACTCTGGCCAGGAGGCTCCAGCTCTCCGGGCTGACCACCCCGCTCTGCGTCCCACAGGGACTGGCCCGGTGATAATACCAGGCAAACCCAGATTCCAATTTCTCTAGTACTTATTGGTCGTGGACCTTGGAGTCAGTGGGCGCGGATTCAACGTCTGCTCCCACCATGTACCAGGTCTGTGGACTTGGGCAAGTTTCTTGACCCTGTATGCCTCCGTCTCCTCGTCTCTTAAAGGCAGTTAGTCATAGTGGCCTCATAGGGTCCGCGGAAGAATTGAAGATGAAACTTCCTAAAGCTTTTAGGACATGCCTGGCCCATGGTAAATCTCAGTAGATGATAGCTGTCATTCTTATTTCCTATCACACCCCCCAAAAGGAGGTCTAGGTGTTATTTCTCCTCTTATACTGATGAGAAACTGAGGCAGAGAGGGGCAGGGAAGGCTGCACTTTCATTCTCTCTGGAGCCTTTGCCAGCAAACGGATCGTTTCTGTGCCCACCAGCGCCCTCTGCTGGCCGGCTTGGATAAGACATGCGGCTCTTCCATGACCATGGGGTGGTCAACTTGCTGGTGGCCAACTTCCTCCTAACTGCAACTAGAAGACCCCTAGTGGATTCCATCTCTAGAAGCCAGCGGGGCGCAAGTCACAGAAGCGCTGTCCTTTGTCTGAGATGCAATGCACAATATTGATTGCAAAGTCTTGTGAAGCTGTTCACTGCAGGGTCCTGCCCCACCAGCATTCCTGGGAGAGTGGGGATCCAGCCCCCTGCCCCAACCTCTGCTGCCCAGCATAAAAAAATGTATTCCACATCCAACCTCAGGGCAATGGTGCGAAAGGAGATTGGAGACACAAGGATGACTTCATTTAAACGGTGGCAGTTGATGACTTAAGAACCATATTATGCCCTTTTTTCTTACCATCCCAGTCCCAATGTAATTGCGATGGCAATGTGCCCAGCTAATAAGCTCGCCTTCCAAACTCCCTCTTATGTTTCGTGTTGAAAATTTGGGGGAAAAACATAAATAAAAACCCCAAAATTACTCACAATTGAACTGCCCAGAGATCATCAACATCCGGATTTTGGTCCATTTACTTCTTTTGGGGATTCATATGCGCTCTAAGCATTTAGCAAAATCACACCGTGGGAATGCACAGTAGAGGCAAAGAGAGTTTAGGCAGCTGACCCTTATGAATGAAGGTGGAGGCAGAGGGAAAAGAGGACTCAAGAAAATACCTTAATTATTCCCAAGGAACTTTTTAAAGAGTTTGGATTCTAAATACCTTGAAGCCTTGTTATAACATTGGTTTTTGAGGTTCGTGCTTTAGAATGACCTTACAGGTGGAAACTTAACTCTCATTGGATGAAGTCTTAATCTTCATAATTTAATGAAAAATGTTGTAGTCATCACATGACATTAAGGCTATGCCTGCTTTCTTGATAAAATATCAATCTCTTCTCTTTGATAGTGTTAGCTAAATAAAGAGGAATATATTCTTCTCTTTTAAAAAAAATTCAGCAGGGGGTTTGCATGTGGCCTTTTTCACTGACCCTTATGCCAGTGATGAATTTCTCCAGGTCATTAAGGTGAGAACACTTTGTTTCTTACCTGGGTCTATGGCAATTATAGCCTCTAGCTCTCTAATCTTCTGAACAGCTGAAGCCGATGCCACGCTGTAGTGCAAAGGATCTTGGGAAATGCGATGGACCTCTGGAATTCCCTCAGGGGTAAGACAACCGGCTGGAGCTTCTGTATCCTTCAGGTTGGTCATGATGGTGCAACCCGGTGAACTGGTGAAAGCCAGCGGGGTCTCTAAAACACACAAGAGGAGGGACTGAGCCTGCCCACGTCATCAAATTCAGCCCATTCTCTAGCTCACAGTTGATGGGCAAGATGGTACCAGGCGTCAATGCTGTCAACAACGTTCCTCACACGGCTTGTTGCACCAAATCAGAAAAACCAGCTGATGACTAAATCAAGCCCCACTTAAACAGGTGCTTCCAGTGTTGAGCAAAGTGAAGATGAGCTGAGTGTGGGGAATGAGGGAGGTACCACCACAGCTCCAGAAAGGGCTCTAGGAATTTCCATCAGCTGAATCCCAGGGGTGTCAGAAAGTACTTCCTGAACGCTTTCAGATGCATGAAGACACCTTTCTGGACTTTGCTAATAAAGCGCTCTCTCTGAACGTAGCATCTGCTTTTCCCACAGCACTTTTACCTTGCTTGCTAATTTCATTCTTTAAAAAACTCTCCCGTACTCAATTCCGGGCAATGTGAAACACTCGAGTGTCGGTATTAAGAACATGGTTTTCGTGTGCCAAACAGAGAGATGAGACTTGATTCTCTCTAAGCCTGTTTCCTCAACTATAAAATAATGATAATGCTTCAGGTGTTTGTTGTCAGAGCTAAACTGGAAAACGCACATAGAAGTGTTTTTCGCAACGTGGTTCAGAGCCAGCCCTCGGTAAATGAAGGTTCGCGTTACTGTGTCTCCATGTCCTTTTGCCTGGCCCATTAGGGGCTTCATATTTACGATACTTAATTTACACCACCTGCTTTCTTCAGTGTTGTTATTATCCTTGGGTACGTTAACTCCACGCAGCTGTGTGCTCCCCAAAATGAGGACCGTTGTTTACTGATCTCAGAACACCACATAGTACCTTGCACAGAAAAGGGACTCCGTGTGAACTGGTGGGAATTGAGTAAGTAACAATGCCATGAATGTCACCGAAAACAGTAACATTTTTTTTTTTTCAAATTCAACAGAAAGCCAGGTGAACACTTCAGAAGGAAAATCTACTGATAATTGCACGAAGCATTCTAACTTAATTTTTAGAGAGGCAAGAATTAAGGATTTTGATGAATGCGATCACTGTTTTTCTGTGTTTTGGACAGCACCTAAAACTGGTCATTCTAATGCCAGGCGCACACCAGGTTAGTCAGCTTCAAGTGTGACACAGGCTTTTGCCTCATCAGCTGAGAGGTCTGTAATGTAGCACCTGATCTATCACCAAGAGAAGTTTATTTTCTTTATTTCTTATTTTAAAAAAGATTTTATTGGGGCTGCCTGGGTGGCTCAGTGGGTTAAGCCTCTGCCTTCGGCTTGGGTCATGATCTCAGGGTCTCTGGGATCGAGTCCCGCATCGGGCTCTCTGCTAGGCAGGGAGCCTACTTCCTCCTCTCTCTCTCTCTACTTGTGATCTCTCTCTCTGTCAAATAAACAAAATCTTAAATAAATAAATAAGATTTTATTTATTTATTTGAGAGAGAGAGAGAGAGACAGAGAGCATGAGCAAGGGGAGAGGGAGAGGGAGAAACAGAAACAGACTCTCCGCTGAGCAGGGAGCCTGATCCCAGGACGCTGAGATCATTACCTGAGCCGAAGGCAGACGCTTCACCAACTGAGACAGCCTGGCCCCCCACTAATAGAAGTTTAAATAATAGAAGTTTAGGGGCACCTGGGTGGCTCAGTGGGTTAAAGCCTCTGCCTTCAGCTCTGGTCATGATCCCAGGATCCAGGGATCGAGCCCCACGTCGGGCTCTCTGCTCAGTGGGGAGCCTGCTTCCTCTTCTCCTTCTGCCTGCCTCTCTGCCTACTTGTGATCTCTGTTGGTCAAATAAACAAATAAAAATCTTAGAAAAAAATAATAGAAGTTTAAATATTATATAGAGGTTTGAACAAGATTTTTTTAAGAAGATTTATTTATTTTTAGGGAGAGAGAGAGCACTAGTGGGGGGAGAAGCAGAGGGAGAGGGGGAGAGAGAGAGAGAGAGAAGCAGACTCCCTACTGAGCTCAGAGCCTGATCTCACAACCCTGAGATTATGACCTGAGAACAAATCAAGAGTTGGATGCCCAACCGACTGAGTCACCCAGGGTCCCAGCACGATTTTTATAAAACTATTCAGAGTTGTCCCTAAGCCTATGATGTCATTTGGCCTCAGTTACAAAGCAGTATGCTATTTTAAGCCAGAGCTAATGCCTGCAGTTCGCCGGGATGCCCAGGCAGTGAGCCCTCTTCTGCAGCCCATCCCCCACGGCTGGTGCAGAAGATGTGTGACGCCATCTTGCTGGACCATATTTACCACCATGTGTGGGTGTGTGAACACACATGAGCACACGCACACTCGGAAATGACCACAAACTCCCTGAGAACGGCATCTTGTTTGGTGTAACACCGTGTTCCCAAGATCTGGGTCCTTGCCTGACACATAGCAGGTGTCCAATACATTTAATGTTAAATAAACAAAGGAGTAGGGGGGCCTGGGTGGCTCAGTCAGTTAAGTGTCTGCCTTCAGCTCAGGTCATGATCCCAGGGTTCTAGGATCGAGTCCCGCCTCAGGCTCCCTGCTCAGTGGGGAGTCTGCTTCTCCCTCTCCCTCTACCCCTCCCCGCTCTGCTTGTGTGCGCGCGCTCTCTCTCTCTCTGTCAAATAGTCTTTTAAAAAAATAAACAAACAAATAGAATTCCATGCATCTTGCATTTATGCCTCACTGCCATATTAGAAGTAATCTTCCTTTATCGTGAGGCCATTCTGATAGCTAAACTTATATGAATGCTTTAAAAAATAATAATAATAAAGTAACATTAAATTCTGTGATTTGTCGTGCAAGTGTGGCTGACCTGGCTAGAATTTTCTGGTGTCTACGAAATGCGCTGCCATAGTTACTCTTAACGTTTCTAGCACTTCCCTACCTTACAGCGAGCTAGTTAGGGCGCCCTCGTGTGTGTCTTTGTTGTAATATCACCCTATGTCTTTGAAAAAAACAAATGGACAGTACTGCCTTAAAATGCAGAAGTCCCCACCACCTTATAAAGATACGTTCCAAGACCCCTGGTGGACAAGAAACAGTGCATAGCACTGAACCCTGTATAGATTATGTTTTATTCCTATCTGTACATCCCTAGGATGAATTTTAATTTGTACATTAGGCCCAGTAAGAGATTAACAGCAATAATAACTAATAATAAATAGAACAATTAGAAAACATACTATAATAAAAGTGTTGTGAATGTGGTCTCCCTTTCTAAAAATACCTTACTGTACTGTCCTCACCCTTCTTCTTGTGACAACGTGAGATGAAAACATAACCACACGACTCGAGGAAGAGAGGGGAGTGCAGTAGGCATGTGTCGTAATCTGAAGCCGCTATGACCCTCCGATTCATCAGAAGGACGGTCATCTGCTTCTTGACTCAGCTGATTGCAGGTAACAAACCTCAGGAAATGGAATTGTGGGGAAGGGGGGACCTTGCACTCTGCAAATACCACGTGAAATAGGATGTTTAGTGCCGCTGTTTGCCTTCACTCTTCTTTTCAAAGCCCTACAAACCTTCAGAATGTCTCAGAAAGTCAAGCTAAACATTGATCTTTCTGCAGGTGGAAATATATCTCACCAAAACGTACAAGCTGCTGGTGAGACCCAACCCTGGGAGAGCTGTATGTTTTATGTTTTGTTTTGTGACTCAGTTTCCTAAGCCACTACACTGCAGCCCTGTGCTTCCAAGAGCTGGAGACCCAGCCGTTTCCATCCTGGGTCATAGTCATAGCCCCCTTCAAGCCCCGACATACTGCAGCTGCTGACGGCTTCAAGACTGGTCATCTGAGAAGGCCAGAACACTGGGACGTCCCCTGGCTGACACACCACAGGATCCCCATAGTCAGGTTTGGAAAGATCTTTGATTCCCAGCCATTCTGCAAATGGAAAAAAGAAAATGAATTCCTGCGGGTCCTGCCCTGGCAGTTCATATCCAGATTGAACACATCGAATAGTTTATGTTTCTTTCTCCCAGAGAAACTCTAATCATAGGATTGCCGTCGATGGTACCAGAGAAAAGAATTCGGGACCTTAAGGACCCAGGATGCTGGCTAAGTTCTAGTGCATTCTGAGTAGTACAGTTTCAGAACACGGATCTCAGACACCTGCTGTGATTGCTGGAGGAGCCCGGGGTGCACTGAGCCCGACACTCCGTGCAGATTGCTAACCCAAACCAGTATTTGTGAGCTAGCATTTATCTTGGCACAGGCTACCGGTCACATAACACAGACATAAGCTCTGTCGCTTGACTACCAACAACAGCGTCCCTACCCGTGGCCCGGCATCAGAAGGTTCACAAGGACAGCAAAGATGGATGTGTTGGGCCCAACCCAGCTCCACTAATGAGAAAACAAGTGAAGGATTCAGCAATACACTTTGCTTTGGCTGCTCCTGAGATCTTTCTATGCGGGAGGTGGCCAGGGCTGACTGCATCGTTGCAGAACGCAGGCTTTGTGTGATTCTGAAATCCAGGTACACCGAGCTCTGTCACCTGAGACCAATCCCAAATTTTCATCAGGCTCTCTGAGAACCACAAAGAGGCCTAGACGCCGCCAAGCTGGGATTTTCTCCCTCGCTCTCAGACCGAGTTGATACACGGGGCATCAGTTCAAGTTAACAATTGGAACAGAGCCCTCCTCTGCCCAAATATGTCACTGAACAACAGCCTAAATTAGAGGTGGCTCAGAGCTCAAGTTCCAGGACCAATAGCTCAGCTGCCATCCTCTGCCACCGGCTCCTCCCACCCCAGGTTCACCTGAAGTTCACAGGAGACAGTGGGTGAGGCTGGCTCTTCTGGCCGGGGCGGCACTTTCAGACCTGAGGGGCCCCTGTAAACCTAGCCCTCCTGCTGTTGCGGGAGTTCCGCCTTGTCCAGGACCCCCAGGAACTCTGGGGAGGAGAAGGACAAGCCAGGGGAGTTCAGGAACATAGCAAGTTCCCGCCTTCTCAGGCTGAAGTTCATGGGTGGCTGTCAGAATCATGAAGGACAGTGGACACTCACCTGGGTCGCCGATATGAATGGGTTGTCCCTTGTTTCCCATGGAGCCACTGGCCTGCACCAGCCTTTCCAGCTTGTCCTTGGGGATGGGCCTCATTGTGACCACCAGGGGGCAGCAAAAGCCAGCCATGGAGGCACAAGGCACGGTTGTCTGAAAAGAAATGGAGGAAAAGGGCAACTTGGCTCGAATGGGGACTAACACAACACAATATTTATTTTTTTTTTTTTGCTTTAAAAAAAAAAAAAGAAATCAAGGAAAAGATGTTGAAAAACAGAACTGACCCGGATGGAAACCCTGAGCACCGAGTTCAGGGCCGTTGAATGAAGGAGGGGGTCCAAGTAGCTAGCATAAAAATACAGCTTCTACTTTCATGTGACATAGAAATGAGAAAGGCTGCTGGTAGTGATTGGTTTAAAACAAAGAACCTTCACTTTGTGCGGTGGATCCTTCTGGTAGCGTGGTGCAGCTAGGGACCCCCACTCCGAGTAAAGTTTTTGATTGCATAAGAGGAAATGCATAGGTTTACAAAGGCAACCAGTTATATTACAAATGTGCTTAACAAATTATGAAGAGGTGTGATAGAGAGATACGCATGCTTCATTAACAGCTTAAGGAACAAGCTGGCAGATGTACCGATATGAATATGAAGTAGTGACCAGCATATAGGATATTTCTGGGCTCTCAGGAAGAACTGCTGTGGGACACGAAAATATCTGGGCATAAGGGGTCCTTTGGGAAGCCAGGGTCACGGGATCTGCTGATGCAACAGCAGCTTGTTGCCTGCATTTGGAATGGAAGGAAATGCTTAGTCTCCGTGTGAGGCTATGAATAGCAAAATGTAATTTTTTGCATCTAATTCCATGGGCCTCTGAACTTTCTCCACGGACTTCAGGAGGCCTGAGGACCACAGGTGAAGACCTCCAGGAGAGGCAGAGGCAGAGCAACCCAAGGGACAAAGATCTCGCAGGAGGCTCTGGGGTCTGCTTTTGCTCCTGAGTCCACACAGGGGACTGCCGGTCTGTGCCCAGACCCCACCGAGCCCTGCCTCCCTCCTCCTGCCTTGGGATGACCTGCCTGCCTTTCTCTGGTGGTGGTGTTTTCTCCCTTGAGTGGTTTCTGGTCGCTGCAGTGGGGCTTACGAAAGATTTAGGACATGGCCAGGATGATGATTGGCTGGGACAGTCTTGGCTGCTGCCCAAAGGGCTTGCTGTTGGTGCTGAGGGGGGAAATAGGCCACCGGCAAACACACCACTTCAGCATACTCTTATTCTGAATTCAAGCTACCTGAGAAAATGCCAGTGCAAGAAGAACACTCTGATACCCTTCCCCCCACCCACCGAAAAGCAAGAAATAAATGTCCCACGTGAAGGCGCCTGCCCTGCACCAGGAGGGTAGAAGGCATCCTTGTCTCCAGCGATGGGACATCCAAGCCGAGAGAGCTCTCTCAACAACCTTGGGACTTCCTGGCTGATTTACTACCCCAAGCCCAAACTTCTCCATCTTGTCAATCCTTCCCAAACCCACTGTTTGTCTGAAAAACACAAAAGCCACCTGCTTTGGTCACTTCTTGGAGCCTCACCCCTTTGGGGCTCCTGCAGGTCTGACACTAAACTTGTTCTTCTCCTGTTGATCCATCTTAGGCCACTTTAAGTAGTAGAGCAGCCGAAGGACCTCGAAGGGAAGAAGGGGCAGCTTTCCCTCCCCTGCAGCACGCTGGCTGTGTCTGCCCGGTTGGTGTGTGAATCACAGCACTTGGGAAGGGACGCAGGTCAGGGACTTTCACAGGGAACAGGCCGAGTTCCCCTCAGGGCCAACACTGAATCCAGGAGGGCTGGCGGGCCCTTGTGGATAGAGCCCTGGGCCAGACGCAACCGTGCTGAACCAAAGCCCATGGCTAGGTGCAAGGTCATGGGTAAAGGACGGCTCTGCTGAGCACGGACTAGGGGCAGTGACAAGCACTTAGTGCCAAGCATCCCTTCCTCGTGTTACACGCTCACCGGTGACATTTACAGATAGGAGTTGGGGTCCGGGGTTCCAGGCTGGTTTGGGGAGGCAGGCAAGTCCTTGTCTCTCTCCGGGCTTTCAGCTCCTCATCTAAATGAAAGACTGAGCGTGGGTGTCTGCTACACATGGCCATGTGTTTGGTGGGGGAGGACAGACTGTGCCCAGGACCCCTGCCCCACTCCCGTAGCTGCACTTCTGCCCCCCGCCCTCCCCTGCCTGTGAAAACCGCTCAGGCACACACTTCACACATGAAAATTGCTTCTCAGGGCACCTGGGTGGCTCAGTTGCTTAAACTTCCAACTCTTGGTTTCGGCTTAGGTTGTGATCCTGCAGTTACAGGATCGAGCCCCGCGTCGGGCTCTGCACTCCGTGTGGAGTCTACTTCACATTCTCTCTCCCTCTCCTTTCTGCTCACTCTTTCTCTCTCACTCTCAAATAAATCAGTAAATAAAATCTTTAAAAAAAAAGAGAGAGAGAATAAAATTGCTTCTCATCAGAGGCAGCTCAGGCCTCCCTGGCAGGAGCCCCCACCAGGCCAATTTTAGTCAGCGCCCAGCAGCCCAGGACAACATCTGTAGCCCGAGGTCTCCACAGAGACACCCGCAGCCGACTGTCCCTCCAGCACGGTGGCCTCAAGGGCTTCACATAGATGTCCTGGGAGGGGTCAGTGGCCTGAGGGAATCTGGTTTTCTCTCCTTGACAACCAGGGGCTGGGATAGAAGCTCAGAACACACAGCAGGGGGGTGACCCCCAACAGCGTGAGGGTCTTGAGAGGCGACCACCAGGGGCCACCAGGGGCCACCATGGGCCGAGAAACCCAGCCCGGCCACCAGCGGGCTGGCCCAGGCTCTGCCACAAATCCTCGGGCCTTTCACGGGCCAGGCATGCTCTCCCCGATCCCGGCAAGGATTTTGGAGCTTAGGAGGATTTTTCAAAAAGCTACTGACATGCTCCGAGTTAAAGGAGCCAGACAAAACTCCAAACGGGTTCGGCGTACACGGCAGCAACGACCCTGCTGTAAGGTCTCCACTCCTGGGCCCAAGGCCACACGGGGCGCTCACAGTGATCCCACGGCGGCAGGGGAGAGGCTGGACATCCCATTCCCCAGCTGAGGGGGCGAGCGCGGGGAGGCTGCACACCTAGGAAGTGGCTGAGCTGGGGCCACGTCGGTCTCCTCCCTCCCGTGTCAGCGTTCTCTCCCCGCCACGAGAAAACACAAGGCGACCCACCTGTTCAGGTCATCCTGCCCCTTGTTGATTGTGCCCTTACCTTGTAGGCCCCTGCGAGGCCGTGGCCTGGGGAGTCTCTTCTGGGGAGCCCCACCTTCTCCAGGACTGCTTCTGGGGAGAAGCCGCCGTCCAAGCAGAAGGCCACCATGTCCTTCAGGAGCTCCCTGTGTTCCTCCAGCGAGGTCAGACTGCCCGTGCAGGCACCGAACTCGTACTTCCGGAACTGGGGACGGCCCGTCCTGGGGACACAAGGGAAGGCTCACAGTCCCCAGATTCAAGACGGCCCCTGACCGTGCATTGCTTAAACAGATGAGGGAGAATGAAGAGGATGTCTGGAACTGAAATTTCGGGCACCTTCCTGGCATCCTTCAAATCACGCCAGAGTGGAAACTATTAAATCAGCGTGTGTATAATGTACTGCCTGCTCCCACCCCATTATATTTCCTATAACCTCCACCCAGGACCAACCACACCAGCAAGGAAGAAAAGATGGCGGCCTCTCTGCCACTGAGGCAGGGCCAGCAGACCAAAGGGACAAAGGACACGTGTCTCAAGAAGTTTCCAGGGCTAGCAGTGGGTGAGGCCTTTCTCTTCCCTTAAAGAAACTTTTCCATAGAGCTGTTATAAGCTTATTTTTCATTCACTCCAAAATCATTTGCTGAACCATTCCTTCATGCCAGGCACAAGCCAGGTGATGGGACCATAGCGATGGAGAGGACACCGGCCCAGCCCCTAAGAAGCTTGCCATCCTACATTGTCAGCAGAGAACACTTGCAACACAGAGCAGCGAATGTTAACAGTCCAGGTAGAGGAGTGACTCAGAGAAGGGAGAAATCCGTTCTCTCCCACAAAGGCGGTGGTGACGGAGCTGGGTCCTGAGGGACGAATAGGAGTTCGCCAGTCGGACAAGGAGGAAAGCACATCCTAGGCAGAGGGAGCAGTATGGGAACAGCAGGAGGCCTCAAACATGTGACCCATCAAGGGATGGTCTGCTCTAGGAGTCCCTGAGATGACAGCAGAGGGGGTGCGAGGGAAAAACGTAAGGAGCTGACCTCAGGTCCCCGGGCGGGTCTCTGAGGGACCCTCCCACCCCACAGTCCACAAAATGATAAAAGCAGAATGTTTTTGAGAAACTTTCTCTCTGGGGAGAGGACTGGGGATGGTTGGAGTGTCAGGGGTGGGGAAGAACACGGAGCTGAGGCCAAGTCACTACAGGCCTTTTAAAGATTTTGTTAGAGAGAGAGAGTGAGAGTGAGCGAGCGCACATGTGTGAGAGCAGGGAGAGGGAGAGAGGGAGAAAAACAGTCTCCCTGCAGAACTCAGGGCCCAAGGCGGGCTCAATCTCACAACCCTGAGATCATGACCTGAGCTGAAATCAAGAGTCAGACGCTCAACCCACTGAGTCCCCTCCCCCAGCCACCCCACACAGGTCTTGCCATCAGGCTAAGATGCAAGGCATGGGAAGGCACTGAAGATTTGAAGTGGAAGAGTCAGGCGACCAGATGTCTCATTGGGAAAAGTCGCTCTGGTGGGCGAGTAGAAGCCAGAGAAGATGGAAGCCTGAGCCGGGGCGGTGGGAGCACAGGGGGCTCCCTGCAATGCTACTGTGGAAGCAGTCTGTGGGGCCGTGAAGCTGTATGTTCTATTCCTGAGTCTGGGGGGACACACCGCACAGGGTCAGCAATGGCTGTCTCCAGGGATGGTCCCTACGAGTGTTTCTGTCTTCTTCCGCAGGCCGTGCCGACGGTTTCTGGCCTGGGTGATGAAGTGGGTGGGTGACAGCATCAGCATTTCCGCAGCCAGTGCGGGACTTTCTGGGTGGTCCCCAAGATTCTTCCCGGAGCAGGGGCAGAGGACGGGAATGGGGTAGGGATGGGAATGGAGGGGAGGACAGCTCGTTTCTGAGAGAGTCATGAGCAAGGCTCTGTGCTGGGCATGGAGGGTCCCTGTGGCTGGACACAGAGGTCCCTGTTGACACTCCCAAGCATTTTACCTGGGGTCCGGGACTGCGTTCGGGGCAGGCAGGGACCACGTGCCTGGCTCGCAGAGACCCAGCAGGGGCAGAGGGCCATCGTTGGCTTGGCAGAACTTTTCAAAGGCTGGAGCCAGGGACCGGTGCAGGACCACCACACTGGCTGGTCGGAGCCCTGGGTTTGGGGCGAGAGAAGAGACACATGCCTCGTCAGTTGCTTCTTGGTGGAAACTTCATTTGAACTCTTTCTTGTAGCCCAGCACAGAAAAATGCCCTTCGGTATACAGCTTGGTGAATGTTCAGGAAATGAACCTACCCAGGTCACCAGCACCTAGGTCAAGAAACAGAACATTGTCAAGGTCCCAGTATCCCTCTGGGCCCCTCACAATCATCACCCCCCACTTCTAACACCACGGATTACTTCTGCCTGTTCTTCCTCTGATGGAATCCTACAGTGTGAGCCTTCTGGGTCTGGCTTCTGTCACTCAGCCATGAGTTCTGGAGAGCCATCCTTTCTGCTGCGTTTGACAGTAGCTTGTTCAACCTCGTTGCTGGGTGATACCGTCTCTGCCGCGACGTACTTACCCAGCCCTGTTGCAGATGGACATTCGAGTGGCTTCCGGTTTGGGGTTCTTATCAATGTTGCTCTCACGAGCATATTAATAGATGGAATTCGGGGCATGCCTGCGCGCATTTCTGTTTGGCATAGACCTGGGGTGCTAGGGTGTGTGCACGTCCAGCTTTAGGAGTTCAGCAAAGCAGTTTCCAAAATGGTTGTGTGGGTTCTTCCTGGCTCCTTCTCTTCCCCAATGCTTGATGTTGCCCATCTTTGCATTCTAGCCCCTTGGCAGGTGCACTCTGGGGTCACATTGCCCTGAGGCTAGAAACAGCGGGGAGCCCTCCCGCACATTTTATTAGCCATTTGGGTATCCTTTATGGGACAGAGTACTGCTTGTGTCTTCTGTCTGGGCAGATTCTTGGCTGGGCAGCTCCCAGGATCCTTGACTCTCCCTCCAAGCAGACGGGCTTGCTGCAGCCACGGAGGAGGACCCCCTCACCTTGCATGCCATGACTTCCTCTGGGGTAAACAGAACTGTGTTTGAACCCTGATTCTGCCTCCGAGCAGCAGTGTGACCTCTGCCTTGGTACTCCCACGGACAAGATGGCCGTAATGACACCCACCTCAAAGGGAACCCCGTGAGTTCGTTCCTGTGCGTCAATTACCCAACACACAAACGTACAGGAAGCAGGAGTTGGAGTTACATTCATTCAGTGGAATGTGGTGTAGACATTTAAAATTATGGGACAGAAGGAATGTTTAATGATATGAAAAGATGTCGGTAGCATAGGGTTAAAAAGAAACAATACCAGATAACAAAACAGTATGTTTGGCATATTCTCCTTTTAATAAAATTGATGAGAGAAAGAACTAGAAGGAAATACATCTGCATGTTAATCTGGTGATCTCCAGTGACAAGACTGGGTGCTTTTTTATGTTCTCTTTTATGCTTTTCTCAATATTCTAAAATTTATGTAATAAATAGTATCTTTCTGTAACTAGAGAAAAAACAAACAAGAAAAAGTTATGTTTTTAAAAAAAATTATTTCCTTTAAAAAGACCATCCCAAAGAAAAACATAATCACGCCGTTTTGAAGAAATGAACTTGGTGACAATTCTAAATGCTCAGTTTGCTGTATTAACGTGTGGCCCTCTGTTTTCCACCATGAAACTGTCAGCTGGTACTTTCGGAGTGCTTACTACGTGCAGAGTCATTTATAGATGTAGTCACTTGTATTTTATACACGAGGAGAACAAGCCTCGAAGGGATGAGTGACATCACACAGCTGGCGAGTGGCACAGCCAGGAGTTAAGCCTGAGATGGGGGGAACCCCTGAGTCCCTCTTGGGTCACCACATGGCTTCAGGCACCGTGCCTCCCGAGGATGGGTCCACCACCCCCTCTGGCACCTTCCTCCTTGGGGATGGTAGAATGAAGCAGCTGCAACCATCCGCAGGGAAAGTTCTAGAACAAGCCTTTGCGTCTAACAGCCTGGAACTCTTGACCTCAAACCCTCAGTGCCTGCCCACGCTGCAGACTTTCAAAATGCGGACAGACCGGACACTCCCAGCTCCTGCAACCCCAAGGAAGCCGACTGCATGTCTCAAGCAAGCCCAGTGTGTCTCCAAAAATACTCTAGAGTGGGGTAGAAGGGAATTCAGCCAGCCTAGAAGCCCGGCTTTCCTCAGCTGCCCTCTCTCACCTCCAAAGCCTGTTGGGAGAGCAAACTGGATTTTGAATACCACAAATCAGAGAGGTATTATGTGCACAAAGCTTCTTTGTTTCCTTTTTAATTAAATGCACTTCAGAGGGCACTGTGTTTGGGGTTTGTTCATCTCCACTGCTAATCAGAGAGAGTCCCCTGAGTTGCCCCCATTAGTGACAGGACACCAAGAGAGGACTCTGTGACAGGTGGCTCTTTGGAGGGGGTGATGGACGCGTGAGGGGAGGGTCCGAAGTGATCGCTGCAACCCCTGGGTAGCTCTAACTAAGGTCCTGATGGCTTTTTCTTTGTGAAGAAAAATGAAGTGAGTCTTCTGAGTCCTGTTACCTCAATGCAGTATTTTCCTTTTTCTTTTTTAATTTAATGATGAGAGAGAGGGAGAGAGAGAAAAGCCCCTTTAATGTTCCTAATTTGATGTAAATCCCTGGAAGACAGTCCCAAACTGGGGTGTTTCAGATGTTCTGCAAAATGAGCGTCTTTCCTTGTGGCACATTCCATGACAGCGGCCAACTTGGATGGACCATCTTACCCACGAGCTCCTTAGAGAGGATTGTATTGTTATTTCCAGTTCCCAGGTGAGCTTAGAGAGGTCACACAGCTTACCCACAGCTTTGGTCAGTAAGGGGCCAAGTGGGGACTTGCACCCAGTCTCTCCGATACACGTGGCTCTCTTGGCTCCCGGAAGTTCTAGGGAGCTGTGGGATACAGCTGGTGTTCCCTGGTACGTCGTGTGCATGAAGGGCTATGGGAGATCATAACCTTGGTGGCTTTCAATAAGGCACATTCCCCCATGTTCGCAGCCCTGAGCGGCCCCTTCCCAGTTGATTCTGTCCTTGGCCACATGCCTTGCTTTGACAATGGGATGCTAGGAAGTGTGACTCAAGCAGGTGTTTAATATGTGCTAATTATGGCCCATCCTCCTGGAATCCTGAGCTACCTTGCAAAGAAGTTGGGCTGCCATTGCTGGGGAGGCTTCCTGGCAAGACAGAATCACGAGGCCAGCCCTGGCTGCTCCAGATCCTCCCAGGGGACACTCCACAGACACATGAGGGAAGGAGCCCTCATAGACAGTCCAGCCCCAGCAGACAGGACAGCCCGTGAGGCAGAAGAACCACCCACTCTGCACAGCCTCATGGCAGAACATGGTTTAAGCTGCTTAATTTGGGGGCGCTTTGTTATGCAACAATAGATAATTCTACTGGCCTGAAAATAGCAGCAGAGCCAGACGTGTCAATCAGCAATGAAAACTGTCCTGCTCTAGCACTTGAAACCATGCCGCTGGCTCTCCCTCTGGCCCTTCCCATCTCCAGAAAATTCTTCCTTGTCATGAAATTTTGCTGGGACTCAGGTCAATGACGACTTGGATGTCTGTTTTCTCTCACAGGAGACGGTGCACCCAGAGGAGACCAAACCAGGGATAACTGGTCTGAATCAAAGCCAGATTAAAATGCAGTGTGATGTGGGGACACCTTTCCCCTGAGGGAAAACCCACTGCATGATCTAAGGCCATGGGCGGTGGCCCCCGTGGAGGTGGGGAGGTGACCGGGCAGAAGTGCTGGTGCTGAGCCGTCTGATAAGGTTTTCATACCCGAGTCTTGGCCCAGGTGCCACATCTCCTTCTGCGAAATCAAGTAGCGACTGGAAGTTATAGCCTCCTGCCCTTACTTCCTGTTTCCCAAGCAGAAGCCAGAAATCTCAGGGATTCCTGGGCCCGGGACAGCTCGTATTTCTAGGGAGTTTTTCTTTCTTTTTTAAACCGTCTGGCACTACTCACCCCCAGCCATGCCGGACACACTCCTGATGTTTGGTTTCTTTTGTAGAATCAGGGTCCTGATAGCAGGCGGAAGGCAGGACTTCAGGTGGAGTGTGAAGGATATCATGGTGTCCTTGAAGGGGCCAGAGTCTGGGCGAAGGAAAGAAGGGGGACAAAATGAGGGGCACAGCTTTCCCGAAGATGGCAGACTCGGCCTCGGGTACCTACCACCTCCCCGCTGGCCCTATCCTGGCCCTGCCCTGGGTGGGCATTGTTGGGAGTAAACTCCCATCTTATATCTCAGTTACTTCCTTTCCTCTTTCTCTTCTTTTTCCAGATTTTATTTATTCATTTTGAGAGAGAGAGAGAGGAGGGGCAGAGGGAGAAGGAGAGAATCTCAAACGGACTCCCCTGCCCGGCCCAAGTGTGCAGTCAACAAGGGGCTCGATCTCTTGACCTTGAGATCATGACCTGAGTGGAAACCTAGATCCAGATGAGCCACCCAGGGGCCCCTCATGTCTCAGTTTTTAATGAGAAATGCCCAGAACTTCAAGAGTTTTGCTCAAGCCCTTTCCCTGCCCTGGAAAGTCCTCTATCCCTCCCTTCTGAAGGCCTTCCCATTCCTCAAAACCAGCTGGCATCTTCCCCGCCTAGGCAGCAGCCCCGAGGCCCACACCCGCTGCTGCTGGGCCTCTGTGCCCCCAGAGTGTTCTCTGAGCCACTGACTTGGGCCTGACGCTTCACTTGACTCTGAATAGCCCCTTTCTCTTTCCCAGGGAGACTCCCACGTGTCTGGAGAGCAAGGCCACCTCCTGGACCTCTCCAGGACTTACGCCGCTGAAGCACTCCCGCACCAGAGAACAGACAATGGCATACCACGCGCACTCACAAGCGAAATGAGAGGCCAGATGTTCTGCCCACGTGTGACTCCTCTTACTTAGATTGGGGTGCCCAGAAGGAACAGGTTTCATGTTTTCTGCTTTATACTCCCTGCTCCGCCCCCACGACTCTAGGTACCATGCCTCACAGAGACTTTTGGTGAATGAATAAAATACTGTAGATTTTTAAATATGGAGATGGTGTCCAAGCTCTAGGAAATTACACCCAGAAAGGAATCCTGTATGTTGACTTCCCTGTGAAAATTCTTAAACCGAAACCTTCCGTTTACTTCGGTTTATAGTTTGGTTTAAAAATGGAGCTGGGAGGCCAGCAGGGGGCGCTCTCACACCCTACCCTTGGCCCACCCAACAGAAGCCCTCCACCTTGCACTTCCCAAGTTCGATCTGAGCTCCTATTTCACCACCCCAGTAGGAGGAAGAAAGGTTCCCTCCTCTCCCACAACAGCCCAGTCAATGAGGAGCCTCAACCCCGAGTTTACTCCAATGACTGTTTCTGTAACAGCCTTTCTCTGGAAAGGAGCTACCTCTCTCCTTTGCCCCCCCAGACTCGCCTCTGGACTTGCCTGTGATTTGGCCACAGCTGGCTTGCCCTGAATTGCAATTCTCTGCTATCTCCAAATAGGCCCATTTTTGCTGGTAAAATAGCTGGCAGTTTTATTTTTAAAATCTAGGGCTAGGTAGGTGAAGAAAGGGAAAAAACGAGGTGAAAAGTACAGCATAGAGAATATGGTCAATAACATTGCAGTCCTGTGTTGTTGACAGGCAGTGACTATCACTCTTATGGTGAGCACTGAGTAATGCATATCAATTATTGAATCAGTATTTGTACACCTGAAACTAATACAACATTTTATGTCACCTAGACTTCAATTACAAAACAATCTATAGTTAGACAGTCACATCGTGTCAGCCTCCAAGGCACAGTCCAGTCTTCTACCTCTCAATATACCGTGTGCCTAGCAACGTGCTTGACACAAAAGTGGGAGTTCAGTGTTCGTTGAATGACTAGCTGACTGCAGAATGGATGACGGCAGGAATCCAGGGCAGTGTCCACAGTGAATGTTCTGGACAAGCAGGATGTTCCACAACCCCTTCTGTGTTTTTTTTTCTTAAAGAATTTATTTATTTATTTGAGAGAGACACAGAGAGTGAATGAGTGAGAGAGAGAAAACACAAGTCTGGGGTAGGGGGGAGAGGAAGAGGGAGAAGCAGACTCCCTGCTGAGCAGCTAGCCTGATGTGGGGTTCAATCCCAATCCCAATTCCGGGACTCCAGCATCATGACCTGAGCCCAAGGCAGATGCTTAACAGACTGAGCTGCCCAGGCACCCCTCCACAACCCTTTCCATCTAGAGAAGACCCCAATGAGATTGCAAACCACCAATGTATGTTTTCAACTCCAAGTTCATAGATAGAAAACCATGCGAATCCCATAGCCATTTTAATGGAGAATTTCAGATTGCATGAAAACTCTATAACAAACAAAACATAAGAAATCATCGCCCTGGAAAGGGTAGAGATGTATTTTAAACCGATGGTGAGTGCTTTCATGGCTACAGAACAAAGTGCTTCAGGGATACAGAGGAGAGAACAGTTGGTCCCATAGGGTTGAGGGGTCTGTGTGCCTGGAGGGTCAGGCCAGGTAGGATTCCATTTCCCAGGGGAAGATACTGAGTGTTAAAGCAGCTGCTTCCACAGGTCAAGCCTGAGCTTGCCCGCTGTGCTGAGAGAGCCCTCCTGGATGTGGCAGGCCTGACCTCTTGGCCAGCTGCAGGCCTGATGTCTGTGGTTCCCCCAGGGTCACAGCAGAAGGCTTAGCACATCAGGCAGGCAACTCAGCAAAGGTCAAAGAGAGAACCATTCCATAACCCAGTGGGGACGGTGGCCAGACCACACTGATAATGGCCTTCACCTCAAATCTATTGAAGAGAATGGATTTTACCCCAAACCTACCAAAATGAGAGACCCCAGGGGTACCTGTGAGCCCTTTCCCCTCATTATTATTACTCAAGAAGATAGCCGGTGGGAACGGGGTGCTGTTTTGCCAACAAATTATAGCCCAAACACCCAAACCTTCTCTTTTTTTCTTCTTTTATTTATTTATTGTTTTAATATAAATGTAAGTAGATCTAGGTCATTCCTGTAATAAGGTTGCTTTCCTGGCCTGCAGATAAACGAGGGCAGCTTGAAATCCTGCCCTGTGAAATGCACACTAGGAGGGTGCCCAGCACACAAATACCATCCACTGAGTATGTCAGGAGGGAAAGAAGACGAGACCCCTCCCTCACAGAGTCATCCCCTGGAGGCAGGGGTCAAACAGGGCATGAAGCGCGTGCTCATTGGCTCCTGCCAGAGAAGTGCCTTCACTACACTAACCAGAGAATGCCTGATCATGTAATAAATGATAGCAGTCACCAACCCACCATATATGAGAACTCTCTGTGAGCCAGACCCTTTCTTCTCACTGGTTTACAACCATTGCTTCCTCATCACTGCCTCACAAAGAAGACATTGTTAACCCCATTATGGACAAGGAATGAGTCTTGGGGAGACCAAAGAAACTCCCTGAAATCCCATAACTAGTAAATTGTAGAGCTCAACCCCAAGAACAAAGTCTAAGTGCATGCTTATTTGACTGACTCTACCTTCCTATGTCTATGTATATACATATCCATCCATCCATCCATCCATCCATCCATCCCACCATCCATCCTCTGTATTTTTTAAAAAATATTTTATGTATTTATTTGACAGACAGAGATCACAAGTAGGCAGAAAGGCAAGCAGAGAGAGAGGAAGGGAAGATGGCTCCCTGCTGAGCAGAGAGCCCGATGTGGGGCTCGATCCCAGGACTCTGGGATCATGACCTGAGTCAAAGGCAGAGGCTTTAACCCACTGAGCCACCCAGGCGCCCCATCCTCTGTATTAATAGGAATCTCATCCTGGGGCTTGGGTGGCACAGTTGTTATGCATCCCACTCTTGGTTTCTGCTCAGGTTATGATCTCAGGGTCATGAGATTGAGCCCCATGTCAGGCTACCTGCTCAGAGCAGTCTGCTTCAGATTCTCTCTCCCTCTCCCTTGGCCCCTCCCACTCATGTTCTCTCTCTTTAAAAAAAAAAAAAAAAAAAGAATCACTTCCTCAGTAGGAATAGCAGGGACCTTCCCCTTTTCCCACATAAGGTGATTCCAGAGCCAGAGTCTCTTGGGTCTCTATGTGTTTTGGCGGGATTGAACTCAAAGGGAGAGAATAGGTTCAAACCATTAGACCACACAAAGTGAAGTTTCTCAGGCGTTCCATCAGGGCCTCCAGTGAACTCACTGCTGAGTGGCCCTGGGTGGTCCAGGTGCCTCAATGCCCAGTGAGGTCTTACTCTAAGTAAGGGACTAATCAGTGAGCACTGGTTGGACCCTAAGAAGCTACTTTAGACTGTGAATTCTTTTCTTATTAGAGAATAACAAACTTCAGGTCCACAAATATCATTCTCTAGCCTCGAATATACCAGAGAGGGGCCCACAGCCCATCAGTTCCTTAGAAGAATCTGACACGCCCCAAAGATCAGTGTAAAAATATCTCAGCTATGTCTGTCACAGATAACTGAAATTCCGCCATTAGAAATTCATTTCTCTGCTTTACCCAAGTAATCCAGTTGTAGGAAGGCATGCTCCAGATGTGCTCAAGCAGTGGGGCCAAATGATGGGAGCACATGGCAGCCCTATTTGTAATAGAAACAATTTAGAAACAACCTAATAGAGGTTGATCAGATACATGGAGGACTGGTTAAATAGAAGAGTAACTAAGCTATGGTACATCCCTACCATACAAAGAGATACTATGTAACCATTACAAAGAATGAGGCTAGTCATTACACTTCATGAGAAACAACTTCCCAAAGACATAAAATGAACAATGGAAAATGGATAAAATGAATAACACATGGCAAGGTTATTCTATGTTAAATAACACCCATGATGCATTTGAGTGTATTGGACGATCTCTGGAAGGTTGGAGAAGAGCTGCCTGTAGAGAGGGAAATTAGGTGGATGGGGTCCTGAGCAGGAGCAGTGGCAGCCACACTGTATTTTATGTGAATGGCACCCTCTGGAGTTGTGCCATGGGGTGGCCCTGAGGGAAGAGGTATCTTTTGCATCTATCCTTCCTGCACCTTTGAGTGGGACAACATGGACATATTATGTGATTAAAAAATGACATTTAATTTAAACATATATCAAGAAGTTAGAATCAGATCTTT